TAGAGTTGAGTAGAGCTGTGCTGGGCTGAGCTGAGCTGAGCTGAGCTGAGTTGAGCTGGGCTGGGCTGGGCTGAACTGAACTGAATTGAACTGAAGGGTGGTGCCACTGCTTGCTTACTTTCTTGTACTCCCCTACCTACTACCTCTTTACCCCTCCTTTTCTTGTGTGCGAGGGGTCGTTTTCTTTGTTCTGTTTGGAGCCGGGTAGAGAAAGGGATATAAGAAAGTGGATAAGGCGAAAGGAAGAGAGAAAGTAAGAGAGAGAGAGAGAAGAGAGCTCCTTCACTTCGAATTCCGCATCCAAAAAGGCGAACTTATGCTTGCTTACGTACGCCCAGACGAGACTGACTTTGGGAGTAGGTGGAGCTTGCCTTGGCCCGGCCCGGTGGATGCTTGAAAAGTCGTGCTATTAATACGGAGATATCTCCTCTTCCTACTCTACTTACCTATACACATCTCTCTCTCTCTGTCTTTCTCTCTTCATCTTATTGCTTAAAGCCTGCCTGGTTCAAATCTCATATCTCAAATCTCAGCTTACGTGTTGGCCTAGTCTTTGAGTACTTACGATGGCTTCCTCCACTATCAAGGCGGGCGAGCGACCCGTGGGCAGGAAGTTCATTGTTGCGTGTGATGGTTCGTAGACCTCCCAGAGGCCAGAGGTACTGGTGTTAGTTATGAGACAGACTCGTTGCTGATGATCGATTGATCGGTGGATGAACAGGAACATGGCAGGTGAGTATCACCGCGAGACCCATCTCCAAGTGGGGATGTACACTTCTCTGGGCACCTTTTTGACGCCCCTTCAGAACTCAGACATGGGCGTAGACACCTCCCCCTTCTCGCCACCTTCCGCCCAGATCCCGACTAACGTGACGCGCATCATCCGCGCCCTCAACCACCGCGACTCGGATGGCGTGACTCAAGTCGCCTTCTACCAGCGTGGTGTCGGCACCGATAACCTTCAGGACATGGTCGTTGGCGGCCTCACGGGCAATGACATCGGCAACCACATCCGCGAGGCGTATGCCTTCGTCGCGAACAACTTTAACCCAGAGAGTCAGAAGGAGCTTGACGACGTGACGACGCCGCTGGACCAGATTGTGCTGTTGGGATTCTCGCGCGGGGCCTACACGGCTCGCGCGATTGCCAGTTTGATTTCAGACATAGGTTTGTTGACGAAGCTGGGCATGGAGAGCTTCTGGGCTATCTTTGGGGACTGGATGAAGCAGGATGTGGAGGGGCAACAGAGCCTGTGGTTCGTGGCTACGTACAAGGACGTGGCGGAGAAGTTTCAGCAGGAGTATGGGAGGAAGATTGCGTTCACGGACAAGGTGTACCGGGATACCTTGATTGAGCAGGGCTTGACGAGATGGGGGATGCCCATCAGAGCTGTGGGAGTCTGGGACACTGTTGGTGAGTTCCCCCCAACTCCATTCGCGGGAGGAAATATTCGTTGATCTATCTATCTATCTAGGTGCTCTTGGAATCCCAATACCATGGGACAGCGACAACGTCAAGCCCTTTTCATTCGTCAACACCAGAGTTCCACGAGCTGTCCAGCACGCCTTCCACGCCCTCGCCATCGACGAACGTCGCAACCTCTTCACCCCAACCATGTGGGAAGAGCCGGACCAGGCAGGCCACCTCAAAACGCTCAAACAATGCTGGTTCCCGGGTTCTCACTCCAACATCGGCGGCTCGTACCCCGACGCCGGAATCTCCAACATCACGCTCGCGTGGATGGTTTCCCAACTCGAAGAACACGACGGCGGCATCCTGTCTTTCAACCCCGACTACCTCGACTTCGTGCAAGACCTGAACAACAGATTCTACGCCTCGGAACCGGAGCCCGTCCGGCCATGGGGTTTCGGCAAACTGTACGATTCGTCCCTCGTAATGGACCCCGTGACCCTAGCCAACGCTCTCCTGCCCGGCGCGCGGACCCTGGGCCGCTACCACAGAGTCGACACGGCGAACGGCAAGCAGACGAGCGTCCCGCTGAGAGGCACAGGCGAGAGCATCCACCGATGCGTGCGGGTCCGGATCGACGGCGGCGGGAGAGGCCTCGAGGAAGTCGTCGGCAGGTCGGCCGTCGGCAAGTTCCTGAACGTCCTCAAGAAGGCTGTGGGGGCCACGGAGGATAACACCGCCGAGGGGAAGCTCTACCGCAGTCCGGCGCTGGGCAACTACGTGCTGGTCCAGCCCGCGGTTGACCAGGACGGGGCCGATAATTCGGGGCCGGTGAGCGGCGTCTTCTGGAGGGGGAAGGATGGGAAGGGGGATCTGCCTGAGGATGTGATGGGGAGGACAGAGATTCGGTTGTTGAAGAGGAGTCTGGGTGTTTCTTGAGACGGGCGGTATGGTACGGGTTGCGGGGTATGGGGTTGTGGCGGTTATGGGGCTGTTGTTTGTTTACTTTCAACGACGGCGGAAATGGGGATAAGCGAGGTGGAAGGAAAGGGGTAAGAAATCCACTTGGCGTGGGAATTTGCCTCTGGGGACTGGTTGCTGGTGGGTAGCTTCATGAGTCTGTTACGTAGATCAATGACTTCTTTTTCGTCACACCTGAACCTGAACGCCACGCCGATTCCTTTTTATCTATCCATCCATCCATCCATTTATCCATCCATTTATCCATCTATCTATCCAATCGATCAATCCTCCCTCCCCTCCCCTCCTCCCTTCGCTCCCTTGAAACAATCCCACACCGCAACGACGACAATCACCGACTATTTACCTTCTACCTTACCTTTTTACCTTGCAATCAATCAATCAATCAATGATAACCCACAAATATATATATACATATATATATATATTTCAAGCAAATAATCGTCGGTTAATCGTCGGTTACCTTGAATTTAATTTGTAAAAAATCTCGACCTGGCGCAGCCAGGTCGGCACAACCAAGGCGGGACAGTAACGGTATCCCACTTATCAAACAACAACTATCAATATAAAGAAGAAAAGAAAAAATCGTTAAATGCTTTACAAAAAAAAACCTGCTCTACAAACGTGAATTAAAATTATAGAAATGCATTTATTTGTGGTAATCTAATAATACATTTAAATGAAGTGAAAAAAATGGTCAAAAACCGTCTTGAATAATTCAAATTTCACTTGTTTGCTGCTAATATCGTAACAACCACAACCTTAATTTTTTTTTTAAAAAAAAAACGTCACATAGATCGAACGAAAAGAAAATGATTTGATTTATTATAGTACGACATGTATTAATCATCAAATAAAAGTTGATAGTGATGCCCGTATTCTTTGGACGGATTTAAATACCTACCAGTCCGATTTTCGTGTTTCCTCGCTGATTCTAGTAGGTATTCACGCGGCAATTCTGATTGATATATACCTATATACCTTACGCATCACCAAGATCGAAAAATAGGTATACATACATACATATCAAAAGTACACTATTTTTATTACCTGTAACCCCAACAACACATTAAAGGAATAACAACTTTATAATTAAGATCCCATGGATCGATCCATATCAGCCTTAATATCGTGCATCTGTGCATACGGAAAATAAATTACGATGTAATAATGGTGGGCTGATTTTGATATCTATTATGAAGGAGCGAGTGTTAGCGTCCCGCCGGGGTGGTGTGCCCCGACTTGCGACACGCAAGTCGGTCGGGTCAATTCTTTCGGATTGAAATTCAGGGAAACAGGCGATTGAGGATATTAACAATAGTAACGACGACGAAGACAAAAAACATCAAGCAGCTAATTCTCTCGCACATCGCAAGGGCAGGGAGAGGGGGAGGGAGAGAGGGAGAGAGGGAGGAATTCCATCAAGACCAACACAACTCTCAAGTACTTTACCCCCCACTTCGTGAACCAGTCCAGTCCAGTCCAATCTGATACCTGATACCTGATACCTGATAATCATACTCATACTGATATACTCAATAAACCATTTCATCTTCAAGACGTTTCTTTACTATTACCTACCTACCTACCTACTGATTTACTGACTTACTACTGAAACCTATAATAAATTGTAAGAGTTCTCGTCTACAGGGAAAAAATTAAAAAAATTAAATTAAATGAGAAGAAAAGGAGAAGATAAAAAAAAAGGGGGGGGGGGGGAGATACAAAGCCTCTTGAGAGAAGCTGTCGTCACTGGCAGCTAGCTAGCTGAATGGATGAATGGATATCGATCTATCTTATCATTAGAAAGGGCGGAGCGGAGGGACTCTCTGCCCTGGATCCTCTAGACCAACACTAATAGTGTCATCGAATAGCTCCCGCGGTCAGTACGTAGGTCGACGACCATGCCTAGCACAGCCGCGGCCACTGACTTCTATCGACGGGAACTCTTCGCATCAGGAAATGCTTGGCTCCCCCTAAAAAAAAAAACCAGAAAAGAAAACACCCAACAAGGACTAACTAATGGCGTCCTCTACAAACAATCTATCCATTTAGGCTCAGATCGTCCCAATCGGTTTCGGTACCCAGGGACCCTCCCATAACGCCCAGCCTTTACCCTTGGCAGGATGGCCGGCTGCCTCCTGGGGCTTTCGTACATCCTCAGCATCCAGTTCCCTGTTCATCATCTCCATTTCCGCTCTGACCTCCTCGATGCTACTCACGGCTTTGACCTCCCCGCCTGGCGATGCGTCAACGAGCAGAGCCCCTTCCTCCTTCAGAATACGATTCTGGATTCGCAGCTCCCAGGAATCGCCCAGCCCCCCCGAGAAGAGCGGGGCGCCACCAGTGTCAACCGCCCACAGCGCCTCCAGCAGCTGCTCTGGAGCCCAGTTGTCCAAGGACTGCTCCAGCGCGGCGTAGAACGGTGTGGCTCTCGCCTCGAAGAGTCTCTGCATGAACACGTAGCATTCTTCCTGAGGAGTGGGTGCGTCTGGGAGCTTGGCCCAGTAGTAGTCCCATATCCAGTGCAGCGCTTTCTGAGTAGCGGTACGGAGCTTGGAGAGTGAGGGTAGCTCTTCGTGGGTGACCTGGTGGCGGAGCTCGACGTAAGTCGCGGGTAGGCCGATGGTTTTGGCGATTGAGTACATGCTCAGCTTCCGGCGCTTGTCTTGGTGGCTATCGAGGAGACCTGTGACGAATCTGCGCGCGTTAGCTTGATTCACTAGTTGGACGCGTTGGGCAGTGCTGAGATGTGGACGAGGGACTTGTATGTGGACCAACTATCTCCGAGGCCACGAACACCCAAGGTCTTGCGCTTGGATGTCACACAGCTTAGGAGAAGTGTCAACAAAAGAACGCAACAACCATCAAGACCATCCGCTTCTTCAAGTCCCACACATCCCAAGAATAGAACCAAAGCACTCCCTTTGACCCCACCACCCCCTCACCCCGACAACCCACCTACAAAATGCGGCCGCATACGCCGCCCTGACACAGTAAGTCGCGTTCCCCTTCCCATCATTCAGCATCGCCGCCGTCAGCAGCGCTGTGCTCTCCACCAGGTGCGGGCAGTTACCCCGCTGCATCCACACCGCGACCCTCGCTGCGGCGGCGTGGCGCCGCTCCCTAACTACGTCCAAGTCCTGTCTGCGGGGACCGGGATAGAAATCTGCGCGGACGGCGAGGAGATCGCGGGCGTGGCGCCAGGGTGTGATGACGTATTGGACCATGGCCGTTGGCCGTTGGGAATGAGGGATGGATGGATGGATGGGTGGGTAGGTGGGTAGGTGGCGACGATACCTGGCCTTTGAAAGGGGAGAAGGAATGAGAATATATGAGTGAATGGCGAGAGAGAGAGAGGAGTTGGGAGGGTTTAATATTTACTATGGTATGGTATGGTTTGATAGATGAGGGCCAGACGGAGCGAACGAGGTTGAAATTCCTTGGTGCCAAGATATGAGGCTCTGCGGGAGCTTAGACGAAGCGAGGAAAGTCTAAATGAGTCAAGCTCCGTAATCGATGTTCGACTAACAGTTGGACCAATCACTTTCATACACGCTATTAGAACTAGCATTTATGGAATGTGTTTCAATTCTTATGATGCACGCACAGTTGTGCGAGTCTCATCTCCACCTCAGTTGGGTTACTATCATCTACGCACGCTTGCGGAGCCGATCTTTCCAATCCTGGTACACCCATATCCCAACTCCACGCTAAATCAAATAAAGACATACTAGGAAGGTTGCATCGAAATTCGATACCCTTATAAAGATCCGGGGCCAAAATACCCCTGAGAAGTGACAGTCGCATGAGGTTGACTTGGGGGGAGAAATCCGCTTTCTAAAACCGAAGCCTGTGCTGGCGCCTCGTCGTCATCCTCTCCCTCACCATCCTGATCACCATCCTCCTCCTCATCGCTTGGGGGAGGGACGTAAGACTCCTCGAGCTTCAAGCCCTTGCCAGTAGGTGCGACTATTCGAGCGCAGGTTTCAGTGCAGCCGTTCATCATCAGCCCCCGATAGCAATTTAAATCATTTGGCAGAGGTGTTTTGATGACCTCGGGTGCATCATAGAGACCCATGCCGATCAGTTCCTCTCCATCCGAGTCGGGCTCCGAGAGTGATAGGGAATGGTATGGAATGCTTTCTGTGGCTGGGAAGGTAGATTCGGGGTGTTGTGTGGGAAGAAAGTCTTCTGGCGTGGGTGGAGTCGTCGAAGAGTTCTCGAAAGCGTGGCTCGCGAAGTTGTTCCAGTCGCAGTGGGAATACATGATTGGATCGGTGTCTTCTGCTGACAGAGGAACCAAATTCCTGTGGAACTGCTCTTGGTATTGTTGTTGTTGTTGATGATGATGATGATGTGGTGGTTGTTGTTGTTGTTGCTCTTGTTGTATTTGACTAACCGAGTAGCCCGAGTTCGAGGAATGCAAGGAGGGAGTATGGTCGTGGTATGTATATTGTGGTTGCTCATACCCATTGAATGGCCTTGAGAGAGGAGAAAATGGTGAGTCGGGGGATGCATTGCCCGAGTGAGCAGCATGGTCGAAATATTGGAAATGGCTGCAGTCGCTGATCGGAATTTGGTATGCTGGTTGATATCGTTGCTGAGGAGAGATGCGAGAGGCCGGGTGCCAGCTCACAGGTCTCGATCGTTGTTCAGGAAGTCGTTGTCCATCATTTGAGATGAGGGATCCGCTGGCCATAGCATTCTGCTGCTCGATCATGGCGAGCCTCCTTCGATGTGCTCCGTCACTCATCACAGTTCGCCGTCTTCCTATTGATCCTCTGGGGCTATTGCTCGCACTGCTTGGCTTGACTACACGCATCGAGGCACCTGGCCGCTGTCCATTTGAGCTTCGAGGGTAGCGAGCGAGATTGGACGAGGCCATCTGCTTAGAAACATCGTCCAGCAACATTTCGAGGGTGTTGTATCCCAGCGGGTTTCCTCCATAAGCTGTGTTCATCATCGTGTGGTGGGTGAGTGCGTTTGAATATGCGTGGGGATGTTGAGAGGAAGGCTCCGCTGTGAATGAAGGAAGGATGAGCCTTATATCAGTGCCCACTGGACATCGTTAATCATAAGTAACTCCTGGCTTCAGGGGAGTAAATGGTAAGGGGAAAAGTGGTGCGGAGTCTAAAAGGGAAAGTAGTAGTAAATAGATCTTCTTTAGATCAAAGAAGGCTAGACAGTGGAAAGCACAAATATGGATACTCCCTTGCAACTGACTTAGAGTTCCGGTATGCTGTCTGTGTCATATGGAACACACGAACGAGCAAGGGCGGGCGCCTCTAGAGGTCTGGAGGTCTGGAGGACTGGAGGACTGGAGGACTGGAGGACACGCCGGGCTTTCTTCTGGGGATGGATGGCATGGCATGGCATAGCATGGCATAGCATGGCATGGGCTCTGCTGGCGGTCAAAGTACCGTACAAGTAGTAGTACTACGTACTATACGTAGAGACCGAGCCCCTGGGCCTGCAAGTTGCAGAGTTTCGACGGCCAAGCGCTACATCCTCCCGCGGGTGGATGCGTAAGCAAGGTACGTTGTAGTAGTTGTAAAAGAGTTGTCGTACGTGCTGTACTAGTAAGTTCGGTCGAAGTAAGAGTATGAGTAAGTGCAGAGTTGTACGGGGGAGATAATAGTTTTGGTTGGTTTTGTAAAGGGAAGAAGGGCAGGGAATAGGTTGGGGGTCGAGGTGGAGGTGGAGGTGGAGGTGGAGGTGGAAGTGGAGGTGGAGGTGAGGTGGAGGTGGAGGTGGGGGCAAAAGCGCCCCAGGCGTGGGACGGGGTTGGGTGATGGAGGAGTGATAGATGGACATGGAACATGATAAGTGGCGCGACCGGGTGTCTACTGTAGTCTGTACAGAGTAATAAGGAAATTCGTATACTAATACGTACGTACATAGTAGTACTAGTACGTAGTAGTAGTAAGTACGGTAGAATAGTGCTCGGAGCTTGTTTCGAAGATAAGTAATAGTATAAATGGAGAATTACTTACAACTAAAAAAGTACTACGTACTTCTACCTAGTTGTAGTAATTTAGTAAGTAGTATTATTACTATTACTATTACTATTACTATTACTGTAGATGCGATTGCTTGGGAGTGAAAAGCGGTCAGGGAGGGGAGTGGGTAGAGTAAGGCGCGAGGGGGTGATCGTAGTAAATGATTATATCACACACACACACATACCTACACATCACCAACTTCTCTTCCCTCTCCTCCGCTCCTCTCCTCCATCCAAGACTCGGTCGGGCAAGGCGATGGATGATTGATTGATTGATTGATCGATCGATCGATTGACGGTGCTCCCGCTGCCTCTCTACTGTTCTCGATCGAGTAGGTAGTTACGACTACCTACGGTAGTTGGAAGCAGAGCATTATTAAGCAGGTATTATAACCAAACCTGTCCCTGTCCCGACGGACAGAGCTCATTTGCTGTACGAAGCGGGAACGAAAGCTGGGCTGAGTGGAGCTGAGGGCTGAGGGCTGAGAGCTGAGAGCTGAGAGCTGAGAGCTGAACACAGACAGGCAAATTGAGGCCGGCCGGCTTATCATTCCCGGGCCACATAGAGAACATTCCTCCCAGCACCTAGTTCCCGGATTGGCAAGTCCATGGATCGTCAAAGAAGAACTCTATCTGTAGGGTTTCTCTCGCTTCCGGGTGTCTCCAATTCCAGGGTGCAGATGAAGTGCAGTGCAGGAGCAGCGACAGGGACTAGGGTATTCATTCAGGTTGCATGCCGGCATCCACCATTCCTTCACTAAATATACACACTACTGTACGTACGGAGTATATACTACGGAGCAACTACGTAGTAGTTGTACTACGTATATACTCCATACAGAAACGCACGCATAGATGTACTGTTACGACTTTTGCCTGGCGGAAGAATAGAGAGCACAACCCAGTAGCAGAAACAGCATAAGAAACAAGAGCGGAATCGGAAACAGAGACAGAGACAAAGACAGAGTCAGAGTCAGAGGCAGAGGCAGAGGCAGAGGCAGAGGCAGAGGCAGAGTCAGAGTCAGAGTCAAGAGTCAGACACTGACAGAAACGGAAACATATTTTCGCTAAGAGAACCTAAAGAGAGTACGTATCCGCCTGGGATCGGTGCCTCGCAGCTCTACTTCAACTTTACCTGCACTACTGTGGAACTTAAAGTGATTACTTCGTACTACGTAAATAGACCGAGTTTGAAGTATTACGAAGTACTAATATAATATTACAAGTACTACGTAGCTGCACATTATTCTCGTTAGCGCTCTTCCTTTCTTCCTTTCTCCCTACTGCAAGTCGTCCAGTTTGTCTTGATTTTGACCTTCTTGCGATAATGCTGTGAGCAGCTGGCCTGGTCTGGTCTGGTCTGATCTGGTCTGGTCTGGTCTGCACTAGAACGGACTCTCTGCCCTGCGGCGGCAAGAGGAGCGAGGGGATAGCCCCCTGTAATGCACTCATACTGTACTACAGTAGTTGTACTAATAAGAAGTAATAACAATAACTCGGCATGCAACAGATAATACCGCCGGGCCCCTGGCAAACAGAACAAAGCAGACGTGCGCCATGAACCCCACGGACTCCAACCGTCGTCCCGTAAAAGCGGTATTACGGCGGAAGAGGCGAAGGATAAATCATACGGAGACGTTTTGGACCCCTCTCCCTCCCGCCCCGAATTGAAGGAGTTGGCAGTGCGCACTGATCCCTGCTATCCGTAATAATCAATAAGTAACCATGATGTTTACAAGCGGACACGAGGCCATGGCCCATGATACATACTACGTACTACCACTGCCCCCCCGCTGCCGTCCGTAACCCCATCACACACGTCGAGTCATGCGTCCGTCGTGTGGGCGAGGGCGAGATGGGATTGGGAAGAAGCACACAGTACTTTTTGCCGAGATGGCATCTTTGCAGATGGCTATCCGATGATCTCCTGTTGATCTGGTGCTGGCAATTGTAGTAGGAGTAGAATAGGTGTCCAGCGAGAGCCAGTGCGTCTGTCTCTCTCCCGATCCTAGAGGTGCAATGGTCTAGAAGTGATTGATTGACCTTCTTGTGCAGCAGCTCGCTCTTCCCCGAATAATGTAATAAATTGTATAGAGCCTGGCCGTCCGCGGGATGCTTTGAAAGTTTCTCATCGTTGGATTCACGATGCTCCTGCAACTCTTCTCTGTAAGTATAGTACTACGTACTACGTAGTAAGTAAGGAATGCTAAGTAGGGTAATAATTCCAAACCTTGATTCCCACATGTCGCCGCTCCCTTGGAAACAAATCAGCGCTTCGGGTCTGCATGGGGCCCTTGATGATGGCGCATACCTATCTTATACTACGTACAAGGGCCTCAGTGGGCCTGTGCCCTTACGAAGGACGGATGAATACTACCACAACCGACCTAGAGATTTCATTAGCTGAAAATAAATCGAGGTTCCGCTTCTGCACGGTATACTACGTAGTAAATTGCAATGACGCACAACATATGGAGTACAAGCCACCCTTCGGCAAAGACTTCTGTGACAAATTCTAGAAGTAAACAGCTTGTACTCTGGCTTGACTGGGTAATGAAGTTCTGTAGATTCGGGTTGCTTCGACTTACTTCGAATTGCTCTTTCTGATTCAGACCGGCCAGGAGAAGTCATTGCATGGACCAGGGAAACTTGGGTTGACGATTTCATGGCCCTGTCACGGCTTTATCGATTGTTGACGATCCCAGATGTTTCTCCTTAACCCATTTAGTTGTGGCAGGGGCCAAAGCTGAGTTGAGATTTTACGGAGTAGGGCCGCGTTGCGAGACGCGATATCACAATTCATAAATGTACAGGGATTTGATCCATGTTTGGCAGCCAATTGGCTGGATGTCGCCGAGAAGAAGTACGGAGAGCTAATACCCGAATTCTCTGGGTCCCGCCCGGCACGACAGGGCGCATGGAGGGCTTCCTTGCCCTGAGAGTTGCTTCTGTCCTGTAAATAGATGATGCCTCTTCTCCACATTCCGTCAAGTCAAAAAAGAAAAAGAAAGGGAAAATAAATGAAAAGAGGATCGTGAAGAGTTTTCGAGACGAGGAATCCACGTGTCCTCCTCGGCTTCAATATCGTCGTCTGACAGAGTAAGAGAAGGAGTACCTAGTACTCCGTACTACCTACTATCTAGATCTCCGTCATGATCCTTGCGCAAGGCTGCAGATTGCATTGAGACGAGACGGCGCCGGCCCACGTTCCTGATGTCAAAAGTCAAAGTCAAAATCAAAATCAAAATCAGAATCAGAATCAGAATCAAAATCAAACTCTCCTCGCTCCAACCAACAACGATGGCTGGTGATGCCAAGACGTGTGAGGCGGGAGGCACGGACTCAGCCCAGTGCTGGAATCTCGATGTTGTTGTTCATCGATTACCTGCAGCTGACTGAGTGATTTTTGCTTCCTTCTGCAGCAAGACGAGGCAGTCCGACAGCGGGTGCACCTGCTTCTGGGCCTGTCTTCTTGTTCCAATCCCCTAAGCAGTTGTTAGCGAGTTCAAAGAAATGTGTATGCTCTGGTAGTCAGCTCCTACAAATCAGGAAGGAGTACAACAATTGATTCCTGTGGGCTGAGAATTCCATCGGAGATGATATTCATCAGGGTCCTTGCCAGCGATTAACGAGCCGTCGCAAACCTCGAGCACGGTATCCTTGTTGCTTTGGTTATCAGCCACCTCCCAACACATTGCATGCAGGTTCTGGTTTCACGATGACAACCTATACTCTTTGATCTTTCTTGTCGAAGATGATCGCAACCGCTCTGCTTGCTCTCCACCGGTCCACCGGTCCACCGGTGGTGAGGGATCAGGCTCCGTTCCATGCAAACGACTTGGCCATAGCGCTCGTGAAACATATGGTTGCCAAAGCTGCACCGTGCCACTTGACAGGGTCTGCTTCGCTCCCCGACAGTGGCTCGCGGCTTCGGCGGTTTCTTTTCATGGCCCGAAGCCCGGGTCATTTGATATCTATTTCCAGGAGATCGATCCAACGAATTAGTAGTACCGGTACGATAGAGAGCATAATTTCCGAGTTTGCAGGCAACATGACATGTCGCCAGTTATGCTCGGAAGCAGACAATCCAGGAACTCAAGCCAGGTACTGGCACAACATCCAAGTATCCTTCCGACGCGGAAAGAATTGAGCATGACGGTTCGTGTGGTTGGAGCGTAGGCAAACCCATCTAGTAGTATCTTGGAAAGAACGGCAGACCTAGAGGTATGGCAAGCTGCCGCTGGATCGAGCCTCCTTGCCTTGCGCGGCAGTAACCTGGAGGCTGGGGATGACAAGATACTAGTAGTAGCTTGTAAGTACCGGTAGAGTACAAGCCTGCACTTGAATGATGTGATTGAAGAGAGGGAGGATGTGGTAAGAAAAATCCGCGACAAATTTCTTCCGCCCCACTCCCTTTGCTCTGAGACCTGGGAGAGAGTTCTTGGTGGACGAGTGTCATTCTGCGGGGGGGATTATTTTTTTTTAGCGGACCCCGCTGAAGTATACAAATTGGATGATGCAAGGTGGAAGGGTGGAATTCTGTTGAATGCTGAGGCCGGCCCGATATGAAGTCAATATCGTCGAAATGAAAGGTACGCTAGAGTATGATTTCGCTGTGACTGTAGCACCAAATCCTTCAGAGATAAATTATGCAATTATCCGGGTTCTGCGTTTGAAACTCAGACATTTCGTCGTGCTGGAGTTATGTACCCACGGTACAGGCCTAAGTATTACCCCTCGAGGGTGCCTCAAATGTTAAGTTTCCACTTTAAATCCCCTGGTTATCTACCCTCGAGGGGTAATACTTACGCCCGGGACGTAGTACGTGGCTGCTGCACGAGAGTCAAGAACTAGATAACAGCTCCGGATCCTGGCTTGTAGGCCCTGTTGGGTCTTTACAATTCCATGGACGGGCGAGAAATATTCCTTTGATCTCCGTTGACCTGCTTTGATCTCCTTTAACGTATATGTGCATGTAATACCGTCATGCTTGTTCGGGAAATCGTCAGTCCAATGCTCATGACTTGATTCCATAATCAGCTCAGCTCAGCTGATAATAGTGGCACTCAGCCACGGACGGGTATTCGCAACAATCAAGACGTTGGGAAGTTAACGCTCTAAGAGGCGATGATACCAAGAATGACTGAAGTTAACTGTCAAATGATAGGTCGCTAAAAAGAAAAAAGGCAATAGCATTTGCCGGCGTAGTGATCTCATCCTCCCAGGTAGTCTGGTGTATGTTGTAGGATTGGTCCCATATGCAAGCTTATGGACCCGACTTGACACCAGAAACAGGCGGCGATATCAAATGCTGGCTACAGCGTCTGTAGCTGCGTACATACAACAAGAACTGTAGTGCTTGGTGAGCGGACCGTCTGCTAGGATAGATGGAAGAGCACAAGCCTCAGAAGCAGTAGATATGTATCAGGTATCAGGTATCACAGACTTCATGCTGGGCTGATGAAGATGGACATGGTGATTATGCGGATGGATCCAACGGTGCATTCCAATAGGTACGACGACAGGATCGAAGGACTGAAAGCACAGCCGCTTTGGTTTGTTTGGATTGGGCGCTTCCCCCGGCGCTCAAGGTCAGAAGAAGGCGGTCTGACTAGCATTTCACAAAACACAGGCTATGCGAATGATATGCCATGCTGATCTGTCTACTTCATCCACATGCGAGGGGTGTCTTGTGTCTGTCTTGTCTAGGCTGTAAGTATTCGTATCTTGGGGATCCAGTCTGCAAGCAGGCAGGCATCCGATCAGAACAAGGCATCCTGTGACGACTCCGCTGTGGCGACGCCGACGGGTTTGCAGACTCTTTGTGTCATCTGAGAGGCTTTTGACGCTCTGTAGATTAGCAAGAGGAGCCGCGGGCGAAAGGAGATAAGCAGTCCGAGGATGCGGGGTGGATCTTCGCTGGATACGAATCCAGCATCAATACCGATACTTGCCTAATGCCGCGTCCATGTCCACGCCTGGGCCTGGTGCAGCGCGTAGTGCGCAAGAGCATTACGAGGGAACTTATATACCGTCGAGGGTAGAGTTCTTGTTCCTTAGGATATGTCATGTATGATGTCGCAGGATTGTTTTCTTCGTTGATTTCCGAAGCTCCGAAAGTTTTGGATGGAGACCCCATAAGTGGCATGTACTACGTAGATAGAAAGAAAAGTGGGATAGATACGAACTGAAGAAAAGGGGTCGGCTTATCGGCTTATCGGCTTATCGATAAAGTTTCTAGAACTGTGGTGGTGGTGGTGGTGGTGGTAGTGGTCCTGTGGTAGGGTACTCTGAGATATATGGAGACACTATGATGTCGACAGCGATGCACATCTGTTCGCAACCACGCCTTCTACCTACTCAGCAGAATATAATAATACTCTTCCTTTGACTCAGCTATACAAAGAACCAGAGCCATACGATGCTTATATAAGGCGAGGGAATGTAGAGTGGAAGAATTAAGTACAGAATGGACAATAGACGACTTTGCTTTGAGTTAGCGCTGGCGAGCGGCGTCACAATCGGCAAACCGATGCGATAATCTCGAAGTGAAAGACAAACTACAGTGATGCCCAACGCATCAGCAATGCCGCAATCATCTCCTCCCCATATCAGCCTGCCAGAGCGCCATTGCTATGATGGGTCGGGCCCTTTCAGTCCGCAAGAAGATGTAGGTGGCCCAGGCCAAGTTGTACATCATCGGAGGGCTGCTTGCTAACCATCAACAATAGCTTGGCTCAAGTGCTTCAGACGAATACAACCATGCTCTTGAGGTATATTTGTTGGCTCAAGGCTGTCATTCCAGGTTAAACATAAACTAATGCACGCATAAAGGTAGTCTTCCAGCAGCAAAACGACCACCGCCGCAAATCGTCCCTTGTGAGCTCTGAGAACCCTGCGCACATATTCCAAAGACGGCAGAATATCGAGTGTTTCGTGCATGGCCTGCTCGAAAGCCAAAGAAAGGATGGTGGCTCCTCCAGTGGCGCTCTGGATGGCATCGCAGATACTCTGGCAACGAAGAGGATAGGGAGTGCTGTGGAGGGAATTGACACCCATGACGAGTCCCTTGTGGAGCGCAAGTGTGGTAGTTCTGGCGAATATGAGAATGTCTCGGGCCAGGAGGATGAGCTTTCTTGGAAGAAAAGAATCGAGGCCAATCATTTGCACGGGGACCATGTCGAGGTACAATCGGGCGAGGATCCAAATGCAATGCACAGCCGGCTTCTTACCAAGAAGCAATTATCCGATATGGCCTGGGGAGTGAGGGAACTGTCCAAACGGCTTGGAAGCATCAGATTAAAGCTCAAGGTCCGGACGGTATTCCTTCTCACTAAGGCGCATGACGAGACTCTGATCGGAAATACAAGAGAAGTGGTCAACTGGCTGCTGAGTCCAGACAGAGAAGTCCGTTACATTGTTTGGGTAGAGAACAATCTACGAGATAACAAGAAGTTCAACGCCAAAGGCATAATAGAGGAAATGCAGAAGAATTATGCGTCTCTAAAAGAGGACCAGGCAAATGTCGAGAAACGACTGCGATACTGGTCGAATGACATGTGTAGGACACGGCCACACACATTTGACTTCGTAGTCACTCTAGGCGGAGATGGTACCGTGCTCTACGCGAGTTGGCTCTTCCAACGAATTGTCCCACCGGTCTTGAGCTTTGCTTTGGGCAGTGTGGGCTTCCTGACGAAGTTCGACTACGATGAGTTCCCCGAAACTTTAAAGAGAGCTTTCAGGGACGGCGTCACCATCAGTTTAAGGCTACGTTTTGAAGGAACCGTGATGAGGAGCCAAAAGCGGCGGCGAACGGCGATTGAGAATAGCCAAAGAACGGGAGGCGAGCCGGAAGACGATGATTCGAATGAGACTCGAGATCTGGTAGAAGAATTGGTTGGAAAAGAAAGAGAGGACGATAGAACACATCGACCTGATGGTACGTACGAAATCTTGAATGATATCGTAGTTGACCGTGGCCCAAATCCAAGTAAGTAATTGCAATTGTCTAAATCGAATTCTACTGATACCCATAGCAATGTCGTCCACCGAGATCTTCGGAGACGATGAGCACTTCACATCAGTGCAAGCAGATGGTGTCTGCGTCGCCACCCCAACCGGCTCTACAGCCTACAATCTCGCTGCTGGCGGCTCTCTTTGCCACCCCGAAAATCCAGTCATCTTGGTAACGGCAATCTGCGCCCACACTCTTTCATTCCGACCCATTATTCTCCCCGACACCATCGTGCTACGAATTGGAGTCCCTTACGATGCCCGGGCCAGCAGCTGGGCGAGTTTCGATGGCCGGGAGAGAGTGGAGTTGAGGCCGGGAGACTATGTGACTATTAGTGCTAGTCGGTATCCGTTCGCCACTGTCATGCAGCAGGGACGAAGATCCGAAGACTGGGTGAAAAGTATTAGTGGGAAGTTGGGCTGGAACACGAGGCAGAGACAGAAGAGCTATAAGGAGTGGTCACCATAGTTTTTTTTTTGTCCATAGCCGGCCAATTGGGTAGACTTGGACTTACTAACGATAATGACTAACTTATGTTTTTCCTCGATTCTCTCATCCGAAAGTCACATCATTCATTGTAAGCAAGAGAGGCAGCGGTGGTAGTTCCACCCTAGCATATTTCCATATCGCCAACGCTAAATGGCCGAGATCAACAACAGCCCTCACGAAGCGGCAGGGTCATCTTTTCACTTGCCACATATTTCAAGGGATATTCCGATCCACCCCTGGACGAAAACATAATGAAATTTATTGGCACCCGCAGCTTGGAAGTTTCGTGCCGCACTCACTGGCTTTGGTGACAGGACTCGGGAATTTAATGCACATAACCGTGAGCGTTTTGAAAAGTTGCCATGTTCGCAATCTCAACCCTGGGGCAGCTGAGCTTGGGATCCGTGGCTCCCAATGTCAGAAGGGACGAGGTGGATTTGTCTCCTGTACTGCCAGAGCTGTGGCAAATTGGCAAATATATGTTTCAGCGCGACTCCAATCTGACTGAGATTAGAGCAAAAGGCGGGAGGGAAGTGCGTTGATCAATCTTTGTTGGAGAGACGGGATATTTCCCCACGCGAGCGAGTGTGAATCCGAAGAAGGCGCCGGGCCGGGGCAGGACTGTCATAGAGTGTAAATATATATACAAATATATATTGAGCTGCGTGTTCTTTCTTTCTACTATTACTGTGCTTGGTTTTTCCGCATATGCCCTAAACAAATATCTACGCTCATACAAGCTGCTCTTGCCATATGAGCAAATGCAATTCTCTAACTATGTCTGATCGACTCTCCGTCATGGAGAGCAGCCAAGACCGGTCACGCCAGGCATTGTGGGATTCAAGTATCCGGATGTAGCGTCGCTGGAGGTCCGAGGAGGACCGCAAGGAACTGTCCGATGTGCGAGGTCAGTATTCCTTGGCATGCTCCTCGACGTCGCAAGAGCTCTAGCGGAAGACATACTAAAGTTTCCCGTACAGGTGCAAATGGGGGCCCCCCCGATGATGAACGGAAACACCGAGCGATCGCTTCTGGTGATGTTCTGCCGCGGAGCCGTGTTTGGCGAGACCTGTCTGAAGGGGGGTGGTGAGGAAACTCTACAGCCCGGATAACACACTTCGTACTACCACTACTTGTCCGTCGTGCAGATTTAAAGTCTCAGACGGATGTGTGAAAACTTTCTTCGGGGGCGATCCGCCCGTTCTCGCCTATGTATACTTTTGGCCAGCATCCTTTCCTAGAAGCCAGGGAAAGTCAAGCATTTCTCAATGCTCCCGAGCACCTTCAAGACTTGATACTCAACCTGTCAATGAGACGGGAGGAAGCCTGATTTCTGCTGAGAGCCAACAACTTGAACGATGAGGCCGGGATACACGGCTCAGACGACTTGCCTTGATGTGGACACTCAACTACGCATTCGGTTTATTCGCAGGATAGTTGTACGATGTATGTAGAATATAAGGGGTTTCTGCTTTCCGTGCTTTAGCTTTGAATGGATAGGTTGTGATATGGGGATAGGGATGGCGAATGGCGGATAGATGCCTGGGGTTTTCGAATTTGTACACTGCAGCGCTTTCAATTTGCTTTACCGAGCGCGCACAGTTGCACCAGTTACAGTTTTGGGACGTATTCTGCAAGGTATGTAGTACTCTGCGAGGTGTTGCTCTCAGAAAGGCTTTACGAATGATGACACGATGAGATACGAACCTTTAATTCAATGTGCGGTGCAAAATGCGTGACTTTAGAAAGTAATCCTAACGCGCATTGCAGATGCATCTGATAATTTTGCCCTTCGGCTGACGCGGCCAGCGCCCTGAAGTTAGATAACCAAGCACTTGCCATCTCAAGTCACTCTTTGGAGTCAAGAGCCACTAGAACTCGGGATTTTGAATCCCTTTGTAAGCAAACCGGAATGAAAAGACCAAGCCACGCAGGGTATCGATCTAAAGTCGAGGAAGCGCTCAGAAGTTCCCACAGCACACCCGAACCACGGAACACCGCACTTGAGCACTTGCTCAATTCGAAAGTCCTTCCGATACCACAGCCTGCAATCCCTGACCCCTCATGGTTGTGCTTGTGCTGGACACTTTGGACAGGTCTGTATTGAGGCAGTACTGCTGAGAATTGTCTCCGGAGAACAAAGAGCAATGTGCAACCCAGATCAATTATAAAATTGGCTTTTGCGCTGGAAAGGCAATCCATCGTCCGGTAATCCATCGAAGTCGATATCGTCCCATCCATCCGGAAAATACCTTCCAATACTAAGATGACCTCTGATCATCCATCCCAAACTCCGTGCCATGAGTAAAGTCCCACTGCCCATTCGCACAAATCGATCGACGGGCTCCTTCCCATGGTGGTGCTTTAACGGTGCTGCCGAGACTGTTAGACTGACGCCCTGGTGTAACTCCCCCCTCGAGGGCTGCTTCCCGGGCGCATACCTTGACGAAGCCAATATCGTGCGCCTTCTCACGGAAGCACTGTCTGCAGATGTTGAGACCGTACTTTCTGATCAAACCAGCCTTGTGGGTGCAGACACGGCTGCGAGCTGGTTAGCCACCGCCCATCCAGAAACTTCTTTTCCCTGCTCCATTTCCACTCCTGAGCCCAGTATGTTCCCAATTCAAAACCCGGCTTCGTATTACACAGAGCATGAAGGAACTTACCAAGCGCGGGCTCCCTTTCCGTAGGTACGGGGGCGCGAGTTCCAGACGGATTCGTGGGACATATTGGGCAACCTTTTGTTTTTTTCGAGATCTGCTAGTATGTTGGTTATTAATCTTCTCCAAAGCTGTGTTCGTTGCTGGGATACAAATCTTTTTGTACGTACTACGCGGTTCGCGAGGTTTGTCGAGTTGTTGCGTCTGCGGTGGGAGTTGTCGTTGACGTCGTCGGATTGGGGAATATTTTTCGAGGTTTGTGGGCTGTCGCACACGCTAATAGGCGAGGTTACTGGACGGCGCGGGGAAATATTGTTCCAGTGTTTATCGGAAACTCTTTTCCCAAATACTCTACGCGACTACTTCTAGCAATGTACAAGTAGCTTTTATCCGATCAATAGATTCTCTGTTGCTAAACGACATAAAATTTTTCACAACGAGATATCAGCAGTTGAAGTCGTGTTGCTGATTCATCCTCTGAGTCATCTGAGCTGACCTACCCTATGCGTATTGCCGATAATATCAAGCTCAACCTCTTTCGTGGTCTCTCCATATACTGTTGATGAGTTCTTGGTACCATTGCTTTTTGAATTGGCTCAGATAATGGCTGAATTGGTTCTCGAACAATGTGTTCTCCATTGTCTCACTTACCTGGGCACAAGCGCAACATGCACGAAGCTGATTTTGTATGCCAGCTCTCATAGCAATTGATGCCCATCAAGCGTATCATATGGAGAAGCGAAAACAGCATCCCACTCATTTGTACTGCCCAGCAACCTTCTCGAACCGTATTCATACGTATCGACCTTTATCTTCCTCCCACCTTCTAATCCAGACCCAACGGCACGATTTAGATCTATCTCACATTCAAAACGCTTGCTTTGTTGGCTCATGCCTGGCCTGTCTCTAGCAGGCGTACTGGACCTGTGCTACTGGTTCAGTGATGGAGTAAGATTTCCATAGTGAGATGACAGCAGTTGGGATACATCCCCAATATCATGTGGCAGTATGAGAGCTGTGACTCTCTTGAGTCTTTCGGTGCATGAGTCTCTCATGCTGTCCTGGTAAGAAAGTGACATTTGACAACCATGGCAAGAGCAAAAACTATAGCATGTTCGACGTTCGTTGCATGTCGGCTACCTACCTACTCGGTATAACAACATTATATTAGATAACTTTGAAATCTGAATTTGGACAGCTGCGTTCGGGAGTTGTGAGATATGGCTTATCTGGCAATTGGAAATGGTATAATCAAAGAAGAAGACATGATTTATGATATCTTTGAAGTGAGTACTTTTTAAAATTGTGTGCCCAGAACCCATGACAATTCAGGGTTCTATATAAATGGGTTGAATGTTGTTTTCAGCCTCGGGAGCTTGATTAACATACAGGGATCTTCTCGCGCTAGGTCGGAGCTTCGCCTCGCAAGCTCATCCAGCATTGTGCAGTTTCGTGCATTTGATAACATCTTTGCCGTTGTTGCATTACCTTTTTTTAATCTGGGCATTTCAGACCAGTAGCTGTCCATTATTCAACGGCACAATGTCTCTGTTTGGAACCTCGCCAGACGAGGCCAGCCCAGCGCGAGCTTCCAAGTCCCGATCGTCTCTATTCGACGACGAGCCCAGCCCAGCTCCAGGATCAAAGTCCTCATTATTCGCAGACGACGATAATCCTCCAGGCGCATCGCCGTGGGGATTACTAACACAGCAAAAAGTTGCAAGGGGAGAATTGGTCAAGAACCTGCTTCCAGCCGGAGTTGTTCCCGATAGTTACATCGATACGTTTGACAACCTAATGAGAGGCGGAGACGGGCTCGAGGGAAAGCTCACACCAGCTGGGATAACTAGAGTATTGAGTACTAGCAAGATTGGCGAAGACGAGCAGAGTCGGATCGTGAGCATAATCACTTCTGGAGGGCAGCTCTCGGATATCAGCAGGAACGAATTCAATGTTCTGCTTGCATTGGTTGGGCTGGCACAAGAACGTGAAGATATCACACTAGATAGTGTTGATGAGAGAAGAGGGAGTTAGTTCTGTTTTCGCTTGGTGTATGCTACGCATGTGTGCTAATCTTTCCTGCAGACCTGCCAGAACCAAGTCTTCCAAGTTTCTCCACCCCGGTTCCTGGAGTCAAAGAACTTGCTGCAAAGCCTCCCCAGCGACCTGTAACACCTCCACCAGCTTTACTTCCCATCTCGCCACCGAAACAGAGCATGATGCAGAAAGGTTCGATCAGTTTTCCCGAGGCAGACCCGTGGGGGAGTCCTGACTTACATAGAGGCCACAACCATGAAGGAAACCCTCAACGCAATGGGATATCTAGGACAGTTAGCAATGGAGGCCACGAACCGGTTAGGACAACAAGCAACTTCACGATAGCATCAACAGAAGCGCCCAATGTTACCTCCAGCCAGCCAGCCGAAGACGCGATCTCTGCTCCTGTAGGCGGCATCTGGGGTTCTTATGAGGGTAACTCCGCTGCTTCTTATCGTGATTCGAATGCCACTACAATTGGCGGCGATGGATTTGAGACTCCAGGTGGCGGCGGCGATCGTCCTGCGCCAGATCCTCCAGTTCGCTCTTTTGGTGGTGGCCGAGTTTCAGGCGGGGGTGTAGAAGAGAACATAGTCGTTACCTTATTACCAGAGAAGGAGGGCATGTTCATGTTCCAACACCACAATTATCAGGTCGCGAGTATTCGTCGTGGTAGTAAGGTTGTGAGAAGATACAGCGACTTTGTTTGGCTTCTAGATTGCCTACAAAAGCGGTTTCCCTTCCGGCAGCTACCACTGCTACCACCAAAGAGGGTTGGAGGTACGTAACCTGTGTTCTCATTCTTGCAGCCTATTGGTGGATGGGGCACAACTCCCTCGGATCGAGGCTTGTTGGCTTCTTTTGAGCCAGGATATGTGATGCCCATGTTGCTTGTACTGACGATACACAGTGAACGGAACCCATCTTGCTGCTGACAGTACTTTCATCGAGAAGAGGAGAAGGGGATTGTCACGCTTTGTGAATGCTCTCGTCAGACATCCCGTACTATCGCAAGAACAACTGGTCATTATGTTTCTGACAGTTCCAACCGTAAGCTGATTGTACCCTGGTCGGGTGTCCTCTTGCTAAAGTATATGCTAATTAGCATCAGGAGCTTGCCGTATGGCGCAAACAGGCCACGATTTCGGTCCAAGAGGAATTCCTCGGGAGACCGTTGCCCCCAGGACTGGAAGACTCCTTGCCGCCGACATTGAACGAGCTTTTCGACAGGACACGAAGTGGAGTACGACGGTCTGCTGAGATATACATTAACCTGTGTAACCTCATGGACCGTCTTTCGAAGCGCAATGAAGGCCTCGCTGCTGATCATTTAAGATTATCTCTGTCACTACAGGTATTGATGGATTCCTCAGAGGATACCTACTCAACGGATACAAACGATGTTCCGCTGCTCAACGAAGGTCTCAACGCAACAGCCAAGCACCTCTCGAACAGCCAGACTCTACTGGAAGACGAAGCCAGAGCTTGGAATCAAGGAGTGCTGGAGGATTTGAAGAGGCAGCGTGATGCCCTGGTTAGTATGAGAGACATGTTCGATCGTCGCGATCGGTACGACAAGGACAACATTCCAACACTGGAACGCCGAATTCAGAACAACGAGACCAAGCTTATGACAATTCGTTCTAAGCCCGAAGGGTTGGTAAAGCCCGGAGAGATTGAAAAAGTCACCGAGGCTATCATTAGGGTATGATTGCACCTATTTATTGCAGCATAGCGCTAAATTTCAGCAGGACAAGGAGTCAATTGTGGCCCAGCACGCACGAGGGGTATTCATCACGGAATGTATACGCGATGAGCTTGTTTTCTTTCAGCAGTCACAATATCACATTAGCAGGTGGAACCGGGACTGGGCGCAAGAGCGTGTGAAGTACTCTGAGATGCAAGCTGATAATTGGAAGCAGCTGCATGAGGAGTTGGAGGGCATGCCTCTGGGAGATTAGTCTGGTGTTCTCTTGCTGTATCTGGAGTTCCTGCTGCATCCATTTTTTGCACCGCAATGCATGATGAATAGCGGCATTCAGTTGGTTTTTGATGATTTGATTAGCGTTTGTATAGGTATTGGGTCTGTAGGACTGGAAATGGTGAAGTAATAATAATAGGAGTCCTTGGTAGCTTGAGAGAATATCGATTTTGAAATCGGGATGTTCGCCTACTAATGGTTCCTCTTGAGTGTTTAGCAGAATGATGGCGGTCACGCGGATTCTACCACGTCCCTGTTTGATATTAAGCTAACGATAAGATAAGTAAGGTAGGTAAGTAGACAAGGCTACGTTTCTCGACCTGATACCACACACGGACTTCTTGCATCCCGACTCGACTCCCCCAATAACACATACAGGGCGAGAACACTGCACCTTCAGAATGACGACTAAACCCTCCCAAAAGCAACTCGTGACTCAGTTCATCCAGTTCACAGGCGCGAACGAAAAGTTAGCTACGAAGGTGAGTTTGCTCGCAAACCCCCCGCCCCGAGAGGAAGGAATAACGTCGATAATTTTTCTGCTCTTTAGTTGCTCAAGGCGGCGAGTTGGAAGTTGGATCAGGCTGTTGATAGGTAAGAGAAGCTTTTCATTTCTGTGCAAGAATGCGGGAAGGATTGAGAATCAAATCGAGCACGCGACCCAGAAGCAGTCTGCCCCTCCATGTGCCCCTCCATCTTACCCCTCCTACGACCAAGATCGCAACCAGAGAAGATTCGAGCGACTGCAGTCCTATATGAGCCAGGGTTTCGGGAACAATAAGGTGCCTACGTTGATCTGCGCCACGTTGTTCCAACGCAGACTGAGAATCAAGAAACGGCGAGCGCAGAGCAGGATCGCTCTATAGCCCATGGATGCACAAAAGTCAGAGGAGAATTGCCTGAGATGGCCTGTCGATATATGGCGATGCTAAAGACATCGACTGCCGTACATCCCAGGCAACACAATATCTGGTATAAAGCCGCTCGAAACCCCACCCCAAGTTTTCGTCTGAGGGCCTGATTCGCACTTTCTCTGTTTGAGACCTTGGCTATCATCCAGGTGCGGTACCTTCCAGCTCTCCGAGCATCGCACACAGTTCCAAATATCCATCCTGAACATTCAAATGCTACATGCATCTTACAAGGACCAATGGCTGAAGAGTGGAGAAATGTATCCGATTTGGGAAGCAATGCTGGCTCGACAATACTCTCGGGCAAGAAGCGCAAAACTTTGACACCTCATGAATCCTTGCTGGAGTCCTTGGAAGCCTTGGATTACTCGGAAAAACAAGAAGCATCAAGCCAATCTCAGATTCGACAATCAAAGCGACTGAAGAAAGAAGAGGGAGTGGAAGAAGAGGGAGTGAAAGAGGAGGATGAAGGGTTACCATATCATAAATTGGGCGATGAATGGCTTCATGCATGGTTTTACAAAGCGGGCGACGAATGGCTCAATGCATGGGTTCATGAAGAGGATAGAGCGGAAGATGAATAGTCCGTCATATCATCCCATGGAGCCCGTCTCGACGCCTATGGATCCCTGCTCGAATCCAGCCTCTTTTCTATTGGGGATGTCACGTCGTATAGTGTACAATACTGACTAAATGTCTATTAGTTACTTCGCATCAAATGGCGCGGCACCAGCTTCAAAGATCGAAGAGACGCTAGGAAAGCTTTTTGAGAAGTACCGGGGTAAGTGCATTTGTTCCCACGAGACCATGACCCGACTAACAGACATACATAGAAGCAAACGATCTGGAAGGCCTGACAAGCGTCAATGGCACCATGCAGTACTGCAACGATATTGGTGTTGGCTTGGAGAATGCAGAACACCTGGTTTTGTTCGAGATAATTAAAGCACCTACCGCGGGGGAGATGTCGAAGGCTGAGTTTGTCGACGCCTGGAAGAAAATCGGGTAGGTATGTTTTCAACACAAAAGCGATTATCTCGCTAATCTTTCCTATAGGGCCGACAGCATTCAGAAGCAAGCGGCCTACGTCGCTAGCCAGGTCAAGCTACTCTCTACCGACTTGGCTCTGTTCAAGAGGGTCTACAGGTGGACATTCATCTCTGCTAAGGACAAAAACCAGAAGGCTTTACCACTAGAGACTGGTCTCACCTACTGGAAAGTTATTTTCAGCCCTCCAGGTATGGAATGGTGTACGGATGTTACCAACTGGTGCGACCTGTGGGTGGAGTTTCTCCAAAAGAATTGGACAAAGAGTGTCAATAAAGATATGTGGAACCAGACGGAGGCATTCTTCGAGAAGGTGATGGTGGACCCGACCTTGAGCTTCTGGAGTGAAGACAGTGCTTGGCCTGGGGTAATTGACCAGTTCGTAGAATATGCCCAGAGAGAGAAGGGTCTCAAGTCAGATACCATGGAGACTGATTAGACAGCGCGCTTGGGAGTTCTAGTGATGTTTGGGGTGCTTGCTATTAGCGGGCTGCACGAAGGCGTCTTATGGAAAGGAACACTATAGGACGGAATTCCAAATGTATTCATGATTGACGGCAATCAATTCCTCCCAACCTGCTTCAAGTCCAAACCTGTGACTCGCTCCCTGACTCTACACCTCGTTCATCATACAAGGTATCCCATTCGCCATGCAATGCTCTATCGTAAAGATCCTCCCTCTCCGCCTCAAAATCAGAATTCCTCTCTCTTGTCCCACGGAATCTCCCCTCCAATCCTGCTCAGCTTCTCCAGGGTCCCGTCGCCCAGCTTCACCGAGCCGAACTTGATCATCCGCGGATCCAGCCCCAGCGTCTTCCGCACGTCGTCCTGAACCTTGCTCGAGGCGTCATATCTCATGATGAAGTAGTGGCCATCGCTGTACAGCGCCTGATGCTTCCGCGTCCGCTTGGGCAGGCTCCACACCCCCCAGTTCCTGATGCCGCGTATCGTGCCGCCGTTCCTGAGGATGAGGGACCCGGTGGTGCGGGCGATTCTGAAAGGTCTGGTCAGTATGTGGCGGATGGATGGACGGATGGATGGATGGATGAATCTCCGACGGAGGCGCACTCTTTTACTTCGGCGAGATTGTTGGGCCGGACCTGGAGGTTTTCTTTGTTAGTGCTGTATATGTAGGTGGGTTGGGGGTGGATGCTGTCTATCTTGGACATATGGAACGTACGATTGCTATGAGCTCGTACAACATTTTGACGGCGACTACATACGAGATTTGTCCAGAGGCCTGTCGCTGAGCTAGGTGGTATCAGATGTAGAAAGAAAGTTGGGCGGCCTATCATTTATCCGAGATGGCGGAAAAGTGGACATCCCGCACGATTGCGATCTCGATAAGAAATTTGTTCCAGTAATTTTTCCTCGATTATTGCGACGCCACCTACGCTACCTCCGCCATAAAATTACCCGCGTACAAAAATGTCGAAACGACCCGCGGAGGAAGACGAGAATGGGGGTGTTTCTCTGAAGGGTGGTGAGCGCCAGGAAAAGTCGGCTTTGGACAACGAAGTCGGCGAGTTCGAGGATGAGTTCGAGGACGAGTACGAGAGTGAGGATGAGATTCTGGAGGCTGGAGTTGACGGCAGACCGGATGATGAGAGAGAGGCCGAGGAGAAAGCTGGTTAGTAAAATCTCGAGGCCCCAATGCTCTGGGGCGCAAAGTTGGGACATTGGTTAAATACTCATGCAGAGGCTATGGATGTGGACCAGCAGACGTTCATCGTTGGCAGAAATAAGCTGGAACCAGGACAGTTCCTGGAGCCGGATCTTTCCACGTACGAGATGATACACGCATTGAGTACGCCGTGGCCGTGCCTTTCCTTTGATATTATCAAAGACAACTTGGGGGACAACCGGAAAACATACCCCGCTACGATGTACGCAGTTGCGGGAACACAAGCTGAGGGCAGACGGTCGAAGGAGAATCAGTTGATGGTCATGAAATTCAGCGGTCTGAGCAGAATGGAGCGGAATCAAGAGGATTCGGACTCGGATGACGACGAGGACGAAGATGCTGATCCTATACTCGAGTCTGCTTCAATTCCCTTTACTTCTGCCACGAACCGTATCCGCGCCCACCAAATACCAGCCTCCAATTCCTCGAAACCTCCGACGACTTTGACTGCCTCTATGACTGAAGCCGGCCAAGTTTTGATCCACGATGTTACCCCTCATCTCGCCTCCTTCGATACCCCTGGAATGATCATTACCCCGCAACAAAACAAACCCCTTTCCACTCTGAAGATGCACAAGTCAGAAGGATACGGTATCGCTTGGTCTCCTCTCTTCTCCACTGGAAAACTTATTACGGGTGACAACGATGGCAAGATCTACGTTACCACAAGATCCGATGGAGAGCGCTGGGAGACCGACTCGCGTCCCTTCACTGGCCATACTGGTAGTGTCGAGGAGCTGCAATGGAGTCCTTCTGAACGCAACGTCTTTGCTTCTGCATCAAGTGACGGCACCATCAAAGTCTGGGATATACGGAGCAAGAGCAAGACCGCAGCCTTGAGCGTTCAAATCAGTGACACGGATGTCAACGTCATGTCCTGGTCTCGTCAGACATCGCATCTGCTCGCCTCCGGCGCCGACGATGGAGTCTGGGCAGTCTGGGACCTGCGTCAATGGAAGCCTAATACTTCAGCCTCGTCTCCCAAGCCGACCCCAGTGGCGAGCTTTGACTTCCATAAGGAGCAGATTACCAGCGTGGAGTGGCATCCTACGGACGACAGTATTGTGGCTGTCGCTGCGGGCGATGACACTTTGACACTGTGGGACCTGGCGGTAGAGCTTGATGATGAAGAGAGTAAGGATACGGGTGGCGTGACGGAAGTTCCTCCTCAGCTGCTCTTCGTTCACTATATGGAGAAAGTCAAGGAGCTGCATTTTCATCCCCAGATACCCGGATGCTTAGTGGGTACTGGCGAGTCTTTTAACATCTTCAAGACAATCAGTGTTTAAAAAGGGGATCCAAAAAATTAAAGAGTATAATACCCAGTAAGGAACCATGTCTGCTGCATTTACTTGCTCTCGAACCTTCTTCCTGCTTCCGAGATCCTTCAGGAAGACATCCGTCGTCAGAAAATAGTAGTAGTACGTAGTACGAGGCGGTTGCTGATCTGCCCAAGTGGATTCCGGTTACGCTCGCTCATATAGGAAAGAAGGCCGGTAGGTGAGTCAATGCCTTTCATGACTGAATCGTTCAATATGGGGAATGAGACGAATATCCTGTCGTGCAGGCGGCGGTCATGCAGGCGGAGGCGCCGGAATGTCCACCACTCCTCAAGAAGCAAGAAGCCAGCCAGAAAGTCTTTCTTGAAAGAGCAGCCTGACTGTTTGGACCCGGAGATAGCCCCGACAAATAGCAATTCTCAAAGGCTGAGAGGCGAAGTAAGGGCTTCGCTTCAGGTGACCGGTCTAGAACCCATCTCCGCATTTGCAGGGTGAAAGCCGAAACCAAGCCTAAGGCGAGCGATGCGGGTCACAAGGCGCGTACCGGTAAGAGATGCAAGTCTGCAGATCAGAGTCCCAGGAGACTCCCGGACCCAGATATACTCCGGATGAATTTTTTTTTTGGTTTTTTTTTTGCATTTTTGCATTTTTGTTTTTGCATTTTTGGAAAGCAGACGCGTCAACTCCGGCCTTGAGAAAGAATGAGATAGATTCAGCTCCGCTTGAAAAGCGATTCGTCGAGGTGACAGAACAGACACGAGGTCTATCATTTTCTGGCCTCCATGGGCGTAGGCGATGCATTACTTCGTCGATGAGAGGAAAATATGAGAGAAGTATGAAGTATATACCGGTATACCGGTACCGGTATGGGTTATGCAAACGTACTAGTACAGTACGAAGTGCTGAAGAGAGTGGCGCTCGTGACCATCCTTCATCTGATGTTTGACACATGGATACGAGTGGCCTGGAGCCATCTATTTCCCCGCAAATCTGCATGGTAGTGGAGTGGGTGGAGCCAATTCTCTGCAAGGCGGATCCACTTCATAAGTATTATTACCCCATAATACCATAATGGTAAATACTTTCTCCGCCGTCCCCCATCCTCCTTTGCTCTTGTCTCTCGTGTTTGAGTCATACATTCGGACTGCATCCCAACTACTTACTGCCAGAGTTGCCTCGATATCCACGTATCGACCTCCTCAATGAGCGAATGCAACCAGGTACTTATCTTCGTGGAGAGGATGACCACTGCTATTTAAACCTGGGAGGATATTATACAGTATATTGGATTTTAGACAAGAGCACACGTGAGCGTGAGCGTGAGCGTGAGCGTGAGCGAGAGAGCATGGTACTCATCTTCCTGAACGCCGAGTTTGCGGGGGATACCTTTACCTTTAAAGTCTCTGCCAGCCCTTCTGCCGAGTTCTCATTCAACTGGCCGGTATCGTTACCGGTACGATTGAACCGACCTCGCAAGCGGCGTCGAGCTCTCTCCGATGTCGATGGGGCGGGCAACGAAGGCAGGAAAAAGAGACGTCTTCGACTGCATCTGATCACCTCACGGCTTAGTCGACCGTACTCACAACCAGCAACAAACATCGTCAATCGTGGCATGAGCAAGATCCCGGTATTGGGGTTGAGGAATGGAGCACTGAGCAAGAACGTCCTGAGGAAAGCTGCTATCATGAACCGAGTTCGAAGACGCATGGATGCAGCCAGAGACTTCATGCATACTGAGCGAGAAAAGGCAAGGGAGAGGTTATCCATACGGGAGATTGTACTACCGAAGCCTCGACATCTGGACGCGCCACTCCCACCATCCCCCTTGGGCCTGTCAAATTACGATGCTTTTGACTTGGAGGACGAGGCTCGCGAGGACTGGGATGACGAAGAGGGTGGTTCGGGGTCTAAGATCTATAGCGACTTTAACATCATGAATCCCACATCAGAACGGAATGAAGACGATGCATTGGACGACTACCTTGATGCAATTGATGGCATACATCCCGAGTACCTACCCGACACACCACCTGCACCGCCTGAAGGGTGTATCGCCGAGATGCTGAGAGAGAATCAGCAAGGAGACAGCTTCTTCGTCCAGATCAGAGACTGAGTTGGAGCTTGGACGATGAAATAGGCTGGACTTTTGGACAACGAAATCCACGTCGCCTGGAACCATCTGACTTTAAAACGATTGGCGAAAATTTAGTTTTGCCAGAAGCGACTGGGACGAAGAGAGGCATGCCGAGTGCAACGACGCTTTCCGCTGGAAGTGACAGGACGAAACGGGATGTCCGAGGCGTCGGACAGGAGAAAAGATGAATCCCCGATGAACAAAGAACTGCACTCAACTTAGTTCTGCATCTGGGTAGCACCGCATCTTCAGCGTCCACGAGATTTGGGATCGGGTGTAAAAAGTTTTGAGGATGAAAAAATGCATTTCTATGGTTTTTGTTGGAGCTTGGCTGCACGATCTGCTGCGATCTCGCACATTGCCTGGTTGTATGAGCAGTACTCGACTGAACGATGCTCTTGCAGCCCGTACCTTGATAGCTTCAGCTCTCTCGAGCTTAATATCTCCTCTTTCTATCCTTGATCTCATATTTTCCATGATGATGGGACGTGATCTTCCATTCACAAATACACTTTGACCATTAGCGACCATGTAACCAGATACATAGAGAATCTCATACACATATCTCAGCCCTGGAAAAGTCTTCTCATATTCCTCATTGAGATGTTTGAGCTTGATCGCCTCTTCCTCGCCACCGATATTTAACTGGGCTTGCTCTGCCCGTGACTGAGCACTATCGACTTTCTTCGCTCCGAGTCTCGGATGAGCCCCAAGAATCTTGTGGAGCTGTTCTGTGTCACTTGTCGATGGACTTTCCGCCAAGTCTGTCAATTGCTTTCCCACGCTGACTATGAGATCATTATATGACGGAAAAAGCTCGGTGTGAAGAAGGTCGAGTGACAGAGTGTGCAGAGCATCACAGGGCTCGAAGAGCACATCGAGGACAGATGCTCGCTCGAGTGTGGATAAAGAGGTCACACCTTGGATAGGTGGAAGCAAGGAACTTGCCATACTCGAAGAAAAAACACGTTGGATGAAAAAGTAGCGAGGGATCTTGGGATTTATGTATGTGTTGATAAGAAAGGTCGGAGCAACTTCTTGAAGCTCTAGTCCGCTAGCACCAAAACGGCTTAGCGCTCAATGATTTCCGAGAACCAGAATCTGCAGGTGTTTTGGAAAGCTGATGCGCCAAAGCCCAGAGCGCGACATTCGACGTGATTCAAGATGCTGTGCTCAAGTAAGTTTATTTACGCAGCTACAATCCCTCATATACGACGCGACTGACAGGTCACAGTCTCTGGAGAGGCTCCCCAACACCCTGTGGCTTCATCGAAATCAGGTAAGGCAACTCGACAAGGCCCGGTAGCAGATACTGACGAGTTCCAGGAAATGTTTTCGAGAAGCGCTTGATTGAAGCATACATCTCAGAGAATCACAAAGACCCTGTGAATGGAGAAGACTTGGAAGTGGAGGACCTGATCGACCTGAAGTCTGCCAGAATTGTCACCCCTCGACCTCCTACCTTGACCTCGATCCCTTCCCTCCTCTCGACCTTCCAGAACGAATGGGATGCGCTCGCCCTCGAATCATTTAGCCTACGCAAACAACTTCAGCAGACGAGGCAGGAATTGGCTACAGCGCTTTACCAACACGATGCTGCTGTGCGAGTTATTGCCCGGTTAAGCAAAGAGCGCGACGAGGCTCGTGATGCCTTGTCGAAGGTCACTGTTGGGGCTGGAAATGCTAGGAGCGACGACGCAATGCAGGTTGATAGTCAGGGTCTTCCTGAGGAGCTGGCCGCCAAAGTTGATGCTACACAAGAGAAGTATGCTATGCCCGTGAACCGCCCTCCTAGCTGCAAGGTCTCACTAATGTCTCTGTAGGCTGTCCAAGAGTCGACGGAAGCGACCTGTCCCAAAGGACTGGGTGGATGCGGAGACCATCGGAAAGTTCGCGATTGCCAACGCGTCAGAACCTCTATATACTGGTGCAACCTCACTCGCAGTGGATGAGGCTGGTCAGCTAGTCATTATCGGAGGATCCGAGGGTGTTGCTGGTGTCTACTCTATCCCAGAGAACAAGTTGCAACAGTCTTTCAAGGCTGGAAGTGGTGTTACGGATGCAATATGGTACGGAAGCCAACCTGTCATTTCAACATCATCAGGCGCTGTGAAGGTGTTCGGTGATATCGAGGTTACCTTCACATCACATGCAGGAAGCGCCAACGGTCTGGCGCTGCACCCAAGTGGTGACATTCTGGCATCTGTTGGCGTTGACAAGAGCTTTGTCTTCTACGACTTACCCACTGGCAAGGCAGTAACACAGGTCTATACAGATTCAGGCAAGATCACGTCATTGAAAAAAACTGCTCTCTAGTATATGCTGACTCCCGAACAGGTCTCAAGGTCGCTGCCTTTCATCCCGATGGTCATCTGTTCGCTGCTGGAGGTGCTAATGGCCAAATCAAGCTGTTCCATGTCAAGTCATGCGAAAGTGCTGCCAACTTTGAGCTGGGAGGTTCAGTCCAAGACATCGCCTTCTCCGAGAACGGGATTTGGTTTGCGGCTGTTGCAGAGGGATCTAACAGTGTTGTGATTTTTGATCTGCGAAAGGAGGGTGAGGCTGCAAAGGTCAAGACTCTGGAGATTGGAGGACAAGTCGACAGCATTCGATGGGATTACACTGGCCAGTTCCTGGCTGCCTCGGGACCAGGTGGCTTCACCATTTCGCAGTATGCTAAGTCCTCGAAGTCGTGGTCAGATGTCATCAGCGTTGCTGTTCCAGCAACAGCGCTTGAGTGGGGGCCCGAAGCGAAGACCTTGATCACAGTCAACGGCGACGGAATTGTAACGGTGCTTGGATGAGCGAACTTGGGCTATGGAGTTTGGACTTGACATTAGGACTACGGCAAGAATATCCGGGCATCCTTCATCGCATGTACATATAGGAGTCTCACCTCCAAAGGTTGGAGCGTGGAAGCAAAACAACGGTATGAATGGATCAATTGACAAATCGCGAACTCGGCCTGTGGATTGCCACCCACGCTAGCACAATACTCTAGGAGGTGCTTTTGTTTGCCCTCCCCTCTCATTTGCTAACAAAGAAAGCCCGGAATATTCCCAAGAACATGGGTAAAATTACTCAAAACAGTGTATCCTTTTGGTGCACTGATTCCGCACACGGTGACAAGGATGCGTCCCGGCTATCAGATCCACAATTTGAACAAGTGTGTCCGTATCTTTGTGAAATTGACAAAACCATTTGCATTTGCCGGCCGATGAGATCATTTGCCCTTAGTTACCTCCGTAGTTATTCACTGAAATGAAATCAATCAGTAGCAGCGGCAAAACATAACGCCGAAAAGCGAAGTATCCTCTACGTAGCCGTTACCTTCGACGTGATCTCATGGACATCACGACATCATATTCGACATCGAATTGCCACCTTCACGAGCATCGTTTTGACTTTACGAGCTGCGCCATCAGCAAATTCTCTGGTACTCCCCGTCTCCTCATAATTTGGTCGAGAGCCCCGAGTCTTGACTCATAGTGATGGATCGGTGGGAAGCGGAGGTTCAGCGCCACAAGGTAGGAAGACCCACGGTCCAAAGGCAAGAGTTGCCTAACTTCTGAATAATGCTGAAGTAAGTGAAAGCATCAGAGAACTTTCAATGAGATGTCACACTCAGCAACGCTTTCACCAAGTCCAGCTTTGGGCTTCGGAGGCTCGAACTTGGACTTCGTTTCCCCTCGACGTCCTCCTGCACCTAACAATAATCCACGAATACGTCCTTCCCACCCCCACAACCTTTACTCTCGACGAACCTCTGAAGAAATGGCAGAGCGATCCCAACATCTACCTCCGCCGCGGCTAGAGCACCGAGCTTCCCAAACCATCATCGATCTTACGGACGATACAGAAGAGCTGTCGGTCCCGCCACGAAACAACCAGGCTCAGAGTCGCCCCTTTGGACCTCCCCGCCTTGACCGAAGTGACGGAGGAAACATGGACAACATGATAGACCTCACGGAGGATAGCCCTGAGCAGGACGTCATATTTACTCATGCTCGGCAACGACAACTGCCTCTTCCTCGTATGCATCCCGCTGCGGCCTATCATCCAGCCGCCCCGCGAGCAGATTCACCAACTCTCTTCTTGCCACAACACCAGCCCCCCGGCATGAATAGAGCGTTTGCAAATCACGCCTTCCATCTCGGTGTGGCAGTCGGCCCCGGCAGATTTGGTGGAGCTGCATCTAACATTGGACCTGGCATTGGAATGGGTATTGTGTCGCAACGAGAGATCATGGATCATCTGAACTTCGCACACCACGCCCACCACCTGCAGCAAGCCATGCCAAACGGTTTGAACTACCAAAACGCCGCCTTCGCAGAACGAAAGCCAGAGCATGTTGCACCACCACCTGCTAGAGAAGGTTTCACACGATCCCCTAAAGGAGATGACGAGGAGGTGATCATCTGCCCATGCTGCGAGGAGGAGCTTGTACAGAACAACGACAAGGAGGGGCTTATTGTGAAGAAGTCTGGCAAACCTCCCAGCAAGAAGGAGCGCGAGGAGCATCCATTCTGGGTTGTCAAGGAGTGTGGTCATGTAGGTCTATGTTATTCCGTGTCTATCCATCGACTAATTTTACAGGTTTTCTGCAACAAATGCTTCCAGGATCGCACCAAGCACGGCTTTACCAAAAACCCCCAACCAGGCGTTGCCAAGCGGTCGAGAGCTCTCTTGTGTGCTGTTGAGGACTGCGATTCTGATGTCAAGTCTAAGGATAAATGGGTCGGCGTGTTTCTGTGATGACGGGTGGTCTTTCCAGGCCCCTTGCTTCATTGTTTTGCGCTACATATTGAATGCATAGCGGGCTGGGGGGAGTTTTTACATTGCATTTTTGCATGCTACGGGCCATGGAGTACTGGACCTCCGGATAGGAAGTCATGGTCTGCTTTTGCATTCGGCACATGTGAGGCGTTTGGGGTCTTTGCCCTGGATTGGGGGGGGGGGGTAACTATGATACCACATTCGGGTCCTCTGTTAATATGCAAGTCACGCAGAGTAGCGGAATGAATCTTGCTGCATTCAGGCTGGGTGCCGTTGGAGACATGGGTTTGTGACTTGCTTGGTGCCTCTTGTCTGCTAAGACTACTTAAGACTACTTAGGGTTTGATGCGCTGATTCTTGCCTACAAGTTTATTGACACTGCATCAAATTCGCTGCCTTTTGATGATCAGCTGCTCTAGATCTGGGCTTCTAGATTCCCAAAGTTCTTATTTAACTGCCTCTGCATGGACCGCAATCTGGACAGATTTTCTGATTAGCAGCGATCTGGTGTTCGAACAGATATTTTTCTCCGCCATTATCATTATCTGAGGCTTCTCGTATTCGATTCCCGCAGGACTGCTTGAATTATGCGCCGGCGAAACACACATGTGGCTTCTCAGTGCCGGTGAGTTGGGAGGTCGGTAAGCCTTGGATACACTCACTATATAGAGTCTCGATTCTTTCTTTGAAAATGTAGCATCTTCCCGATTACATTTTGTCAACACTCAACTCCTACTTTCCTTCTGCAACGATTACCTTAAACCTGGTTGGCTTGCTCACGGATCACTATTCTTTAGTTGCTCAAACCTGGAAGCATTTGCGAATGCTTTTCGGAGGGAGCCGGCTCTTGAATGATTCACCTCTTTGCTCTTCGAGTTCTCGTTCGCATCCAATTCGGCGCTGGCGCCTCACTCTCGACTTCACCTTTTGAAACAGAAGCAAGTTCATCTGTACGTCCAGCCTATCTTCTTCGCCGTCGATCCTGGTCCTCTTCCAAATTCTGGTCATTCTGAGGCAGGTGGAAGTGACTTCAGGTTTGTACCACTTCTCCACTTCATCGGGGCAGGGCAGGAAAGCTGATAGGAATTTCAGGTCAATCGAACTTTTAAGATGTGAGAACGAGTTTTGACAATGCCTGTCCAAAACCCAATCCAAGAACGGATAGATATCCTCGCTCAGCAGGCCCGTGAGGATCTCGATCTCATCGCTGCCGAGGAAAATGAAGACCAGGACCTCGAGACTTCTGGGCGCGCCAGTCTAGCTGATCTAAGTGAGAGAATAGACTGCCAATGCCGAGAAGAGGTTATTCGTTGCTCGGACGCTGCGGAAGCACTAGCATTGAGACTGGGCGAGGAGGTAGCAGCGCTCACGCGACACTACGAAGCCCAAATCACCGAGATGGAAAACTCTTACAAGTTGAGGAACGCGCACCATATTTGCGATCATCAAGTTAGCGAGAAGGCATTGCGTTCGGTTCTGGCCCAGGCAAAGAACGGGCTACACTTGCAAAGGGAGCAAGAGAAGGTGGCACGCTGCATCATTAGGGGCGTCGAAAGAGGGAAGCACCAAATTCGGCAGAGCTTTGGTCGCCATAAATGCTGTCAGCATCGTGCGGGCCCTAATTCATCCACTCCCGAAAACCGGCTTTTCGAAGTCTGGCACACCCCCTAAGAGGAATGCCGTTCAACAAGTCCGTTATTGCTTGGTGCGTCCAGGTATCAAAAGTCGGAAGTGTTTGTACACAACTTTACACAGCATTCCTACATACGACAATCACACCGACAAGCAGGTCGATCCCCCAACCTCGTTCGAGCTTTCGTTCTTTCCGTACAGAAAAATGGGCGGGCCCGACTGTGACTGGAGCGTTACTTCTACTCGGTTGGGGTAGAGTTTCAGAGTCAATTCGATCCAACAAGCCTTCGAGGTATACCAAAGCGATCGACGCCAGACTACTGATTACCCTGACAGCCGAATCAGTTCTGATGGCGATATGCATCAAAAGGCACTGTACGATCCTGACTATTGGCGATTCTGCCTGAGGAGAAGGGGTGGAGTCGGTTTCCGCACGAGATTCGGTCCAAGTCGTTCGAGGGTTTCATGATATGGTTGAAGGGATCCTAGAGGGCGTAAGATTGAACCCATCTTCGAATGTGTGAGTGGCAACCTTATTTGCTTTGGTAGAAAGAGTTAATAAAGATCATGATCGTATAGCATCTTGGTGCTTTTGATGGCGAACCGCAGGATCTGAACAATACCACAGGAATGCTTCCCGATTTGCAAGCCACGGAGAGAGAATTGGTGATTGTGAGTTGGTCTTCGGTGGTGTATATCACCGCGCTCATAATGCTGCATGTTGTAAATACTGGAGACAGGACTGGTAGGACAACATCCGTTTTGAACGCTCCTTAGACAGTGGTTTGTGTTGGAAGTTCCTTACCATTACAATGAAAAATTGCCTGTTTCTTTTTCTTGAGTGGCCTGCGACGGCCTCAAAGGTGCGCACTTCTGATTTTAGATGTTTACGGTGCTCGTTGACTATTGGTGGTTGGTTGCATTGCCTATATATTCTGATTTGCGCGCGCTGCTGATTGTGCTTTGCATTTGCTACTTATCCTTCGTCATTGTTGTAAATTCTGGGATATGCGATGAGCAAAGCGTTTGGAACAAAGAAGATGATCCCCACCAAGCTTCTGCCTGCCTTTTGTTGCCTTAGTCGCTTGAAGGGCCTGATTCCCGAAGACTCTAGGCCCTCCCATTTCGGTCTAGTGTCCTTCATCTTTGATTCAACTGCTTCTCGATACTCTCTGAAAATTCGACCCGTCGACTTGTAGGTTGTCTATCTTCACCAGTGTGTCACCATCCATCTTGGGATCTCACCCGGTAATACACGCAATACCAACTAGCAAGAATGGACAACCCAGGTTACCAGGAGCTCAAAAGGCGGCGACAATCTGTTCAAGCCGAACGACTACAGCACGACCGTGTGAGAAACGAGCTCGCCGACGAAAGAAGACACCAGTACATAAAGGATAAGACTGAGAATATTCGAGTTTTGGAAGCCAGAGCCGCAGCCGCAAAGAAGAGAGCAGTCGAGGATGAAAAGCGAAAAATGGAAGATCTCAGACGGCGGCACGATTCTCAGCTGGAGGAGATGCACGAGAAGCACAAGGAAGATTGGAAGGAGCGAGAAATGGAACGACAAAAAGCCATGAAGGTTCACAAGACTATAATCGCCAATGAGATGGAAGAGCTTGAGAGATTGTGGGCTGACGTTGAGAAATGTATGGAAGAGGAGATCTTGCAGGAGGAGGATGGTACGTAAAATGTTCACGTCACAACTCCGTTGCGAAGAATGTGGGATATTTGAAAAGGCATGAGGCTAACAAGACACAGACTCGATCAGAGCCAGGGCCATTGAAGATGAGGAGTTTAAGCAGAAAATGTTAGAGCTTCTGGATTCGGATTCTGGTGTTGCAGGCACTGGCAGCATGTCGAACTCCTTGTCCACGATCACCAAGAGACCAGCCGCACCATCGTTTCTAGGTCAGGGAGAAGAAAAGCGACGGCACGGTACTCCTGCAGGCGCCTCTTCTGTCTCTGAACCCAACAACTCGACGACCAGTCAAGTCCCTGTCAGGCGCCCAAGTATTGCGTTAGCCTCGCAAGGCCCAGATCTGAAGAAGCTCTACGAAGTCTCACGATTCCATTTGGGTCCAAAATTCGGTAATTACCCCCGATTCGATGTGCCTACAAGATCCTGACCATGAATTTAGATAATTCGGCAGAGTTCTCGGAGACAATAAGCAAATCACTTTACCTACAAGTTGTACAGGCGACATACCGACCGGTCTTCTTGAGGAAGGGTGCACAAGACGTCGAAGACGCCGCAGACTGGTCTTTTGATGGGAAAGACAGGGTCAAGATCGATTATCACAGAGCTCATTGCATAGCTTGCATCCGTCTAGACTCAGATCGATTATGGCCTCTATGGATGCGTTTCAAGAACAGTGACATTCTGGATGACTTTCTGGAAGGGTTCAGACTGAGATACCCGCTGGTCAGCGTCTACCCTTTCGCAAGGTGAGTACTTGTTTTGGCGGTAAAACTGTTCGAACTGACTTTTTTTCAAGATCTTACCGTGGGATTCCAGATAGCCTGCTCGCCCTTTGAGTATCCAGCTCCTCGAATCTTTTGCGCTGACTTGGCGATTGAATCGAACGAGAGTATGAGGCTGCGCTTTTGGCTTGTTTCGGGACCTACTTTTGATGGCTGCGGTGGATTGGTCTAGGCTGTTGATAATTGTAGCGAAAGAGGAATGTACGACGAACAAATATTTGGAAGAGGTCCAGAGTGAGTCCGACGCCTCGCTGCTTCCATTGCCCACCTATTGATGGACTAGACTCGCCCTTGTCGATAGGACTCGAACTTTAATCTCTGTCACACTTTCCCGTTTCTCTTGGGAGGACCCGGAGCTGGTGCTGACCTATCTGGCATGTAAATCAGCTTGAGTTTGTTCACTTGACCCCAGATTCTCGGGTCAGCTTTTGTTATCGGTACTACATTCGGCATTTTCTACTTTTTTTTTTTGGATCTATAGCCGCAAGGCGCTTGGCCTGCATCTTCTTGTAAGGGAGCCGAAGCTGTTTTGTTTTCTTCACGGCAGTCAATCCTCTCGACCTCGTATCTATCATCGCACGACGTTCCCAGCGGTACCGGTGACCTACCCGCAGGGAGCAATGGACCAATATCGCAGTGTACTGGACCAAGAAATCAAAGCTTTGCTGCTGAGGCGGAATGAGGAGGACAGTATCCGCAACGAGGAAGCGTGGAGAAAGAGAGCCGCCTTCAAAACGGAGATAGACGACCAATTCAAAACGGAGGAGGATCGCGCCGATGCAAGGCTCCAACAGTTGATCACTGTGGAAGATGATAGATTGAAGCTTTTGAAAGCGAATCAGAAGAAGGAGATGGAGAGGTTGACGGAGAGGCACACGAAGGGGCTTGCGGATGCGGAAAAGGAACGCTCTCGAGCTCTCAAAGCATATTCGACAAAGGGGATGGATTGTTTAAGGAATCTTATAGCGGCATGGGATCAAGAGCAGGCCCAGCTAGAGGCGGATATCGAGAAGGAAGAAGCAGGTATGCAGCACCCAGTTTCAGTCGTGCTTCCCAAGTTTGTGGATAACAACATGTACCACAAAGCTTCTGTCGATTTGCTCGGGGGCCGTTTTTCAGGAAGCCAAAGACAAAGAAACCAGCTGGCCATTCTCCCCGCCCGTAGTCTTTGAAATGAGAGACGTAGAAGCTGACGGTGTCTGTAGATATACAGCAAGCCAGAAATATTGAGGATTGGGAGAACAAGGAAAAATGGTTCAACGTTATCATGAGTCAAACTAGCCTTGTCCTGGCAAGCGGTACATATTCTTTACCCGTTACCTCCCCCCAGAGCCCGGCGACTGCTAGTACCCCCTATAGGCAAATCCCCAAATCATCTCCGAAACATACGAGTACGACAAGATCCGCGGCTAACTTCATTGCTCCTGAGGAGATAGAACAAGACCCAGGAAAAACGGTGTTTCATCCCTCCGATTTAAATATCATGACACCGCCTAGGGAGCCGATGGATGGGTTTGCCGCAGCTAATGATAACGACATCCTTTCTCGTGGAGAGAAAAGACGATTTTCGGATCTACAGAGCCTGCACCGCTTCTCCGATTCTGACACAGTGGGTCTTGCGGCGATGGACATATCGGAAGAGAGTTCCCTGAAGAAAGCAAAAACGGCTGCTCCCAAGCCGGTGCTCAAACTCGACCCGAGATACTGCTTTGAGGTTACCCATCTTTTTTACAAGAGAAGAGGTGCTCCAGGTATAGAATACGGTCTCCTCGCCAACTCCCAGGCAGATGCTAAATATACGTAGCTGAAGAAGCTCTCGAGCTTGTGAGCGAGACCGATAAGAAGCTTTTTCTCTCTTTTGGGTACACAATGGTCGGGCCGGTCTTCCAGAGGAGAGGAGATGCGAAGCATTTTGAAAGCACGGCCAGCTGGTTTATCGAGAGGGACTATGTGCGGGAGATTCACTGCTACGACCCAAAGCATCCTCAGCATCAACTCGTACGGTTCCAGATGGATAACTTCTCTGTGTGGATCAAGTTCATGAGCCTGGACGTCCTGAATGATTTCCTGGATACTTTGCAGAGCAAGTGGCCGGGAAAGCATGAGGACATTGTTTATTTCTCTGAGTATGTAGCGATTGTGGTTATGAATCTTCTTCCTCTTCTTTTCTCCTTCCGCCGGTGAGGCTAACTTTAAGCAGCAGATATGAGGGATGTCCTAGGTCCATGAAAAGTCCTTGATCGGCTTCTGGTGGTGTTGGCCTCATTGGCGGTACAACAGTTGCTCCGTGAGGAACCTCGGTTTCATCGTGGTGTCTGTTTTTGTGTGGGAGTGTAGGTCTCTGTGGCATGCCGATGAAGGAAGGGAAAGGTAGACATTAGTCGAATTTTTCCAGCGCTCCGTCGTGTCTGAAATAGAATCTTCATTGTCATAAGAGCTTTAGTCCCTGCTTCATTCGCCGTGTGTGAGTTTCCCCTGCGGAGAGACTTTTGAGAGGGTGCGGCAAAGATCGCGCCATTGAATCTACAGCTTCTCTGGTAAAAAAAAGAAGCACAGTGCGCTTGCCGAGTCTTTGATATTATAAGTAGGTTAGGAGGACGTGAGATGAAGACGTGCTGGCACTGGAGGAGGAGGAACAGGAGGGGATGCTAAAGGCGCAGCTACAAGCCAAACAAGACGCGCTTACATTTCGTCAGCATCATCTCTTGAAGATTGTAAAACGTGAGAAGAAATTGGGTGTTCCTAAAGGGGGGAGAAAACAAAGGCAAACGACCACGACGGACGCGGGCTTCTTTGGGAAGACTTTGGAGGGTGAGAACAGGTTGAAGAGAATTCTGCCGAGACGAAAAAAATTGCGAGGTGGATTGTCAAATGTTGTTGCTGGAGATTCTTCTTTGTACTGGAGTCCCTGCTAATGTATGTATGTATGTAATGTAGAAGTACTAATCTGACCTCGGATCTAGAGGAGTAGGTAGTCCGGCTGAGCACAGCAGCTCCAGATTACAAACAGAGCTTGTCTAATTTAGTCGTGTAATTCTGCGTTACGATAATTACGATAATCAGACATCTCATTCATCGTGCCTGAGATAGCCAAGGAAAGCGATCCATCATCCCATCCGATAGACGGTATCAAAACTAGAGTTCCCCTCCCTCTGGAATCCCATCTATGAAATTCCCCCCTCTCATTCACCCATCAAAAACCCTTTCCCTGTACTAAAAACCTTCTCCAGCCAGACATCCTCTCATGTCCACTCAGAGAAAAAGAGTAACCCAAAAGTAAAGCAGCGGAATAGTCAAACATCAAACATCAAACATCATACATCAAAGATATCTATCTATCTTCCTTCCCTTCCCCAAGATCCCATCGAACTGACTCACTCTCCCCAGGCCGGCGGGCGAACAAAAATCCCCACTAACCCTCCCCCTTACTTAACTCCCAACATCCTCTCCAACTTCCAACAAACAAGACGCCAGCGCGAAACCTAAGTAGCTTCCTTCCCCTTCCTACTACGTACATTCGCAAGACAACAAAACCAACACAGAGTTTCAGGATCCGGAAAAATGTCCCGGCGCCCGATTTACTCGACAGCGATGAGTCGTCCGGAGACTACAACGTCGGATTTAAAAAGTAAACCCCCCTCAGGATCGGAGGTGTTCCTTCCCCCAGCTCGGATGGGCTGAGAGTTTCTCTTGCCCCCCCCCCCCCCCTTTTTTTTCTTACCCTTTTATATATATATATATTTATTTTCAAATTTCCAAAAACGCAATACAGATACGCATCCGATACTATACCTCCTAAAGCCCAAGTCCCCCCCCCCCCAAAAAGACCCCAGACTTCATAGGGCAACAAGTTCTTTACCTCTACGAATTCAGACCGGGCACCAATTACCACTATCTGATCTGCGGATGTAACCGACGTTGCGCTCCTTTGCTGACTTTCGCTTAATACAACCAATCAAATCAAAACCTCACTCCCCGCCACGAGACAGCCTGTCTGTCTGTCTGTCTGTCTGTCTGTCTGTCTGTCTGTCTGACGGCAAGATATTCCCGAATAGCGAGATCTTGTGGAGGAGACGTCGTGATCTATCGCTGGACACCACAGTTCAGTTCTATGGTTGCGGGAAGAAGAAGAAGAAGAAGAGGTGACTTCAACGGGCGCGCCGAGATGCCGACCCCCTCCCCTCGCCAACGTAAAACCGACATACAATCGCAGAATGCTGCTGATGCCGAGGAGGCATTGCTGAATGGGAAAAGGTGCAAGTAAAGAAAGACAGGGCTGTTGAGGATAGGTAGGCAGTCCGTCTGCGCTGTACTTGTGGTTATTGTCCCAGCCTCCGGTGTTTATTCTTGGAGCTTTCGATACTGACCAATTGCTATAGTGCTGAGATGAATGAGGGAGGGAGACCAAACTGAAAAGTCCAGAGATGATTAAGTGGTGCTTGGACATATTCGTGCTCGGAAGAGATTTTCCTCTACGGAGACCGAGCGGAAGAAGACTGATTTTCAAGGCTTTTAGGGGGGGTGGGGGGTGAGATGCTGACGGGAAGGAAGCAGCAGACATAGGTTCATACAAGACTACTTGATTTCTGGTATCTAGAGGGGTTAAGGCTCGGAAGCGGAAATATATACAGAGAATGGAGATCTTGCTTGGAGGCCAAGCTTCTTTAGTATACCAGTCGGACGATGCTGGTGTGGGAAAAGTACTCCAAGCATGACATCTTGATCTGATAATAGATAGCAGCCGACTGACGACCATAACGCCCAGTCCCTAAATCTGACCAGTGACCAGAGTCAAAGAACAGGAGGCCGACAAAAGCGATGGCTTCAAAATATGTTGGACTGATGAAACGCAGGATGCTAAGATGTTCAACTTGCCGTATTACAACGACCCGGAGAGTCCCAGAGAATTGGTTTCCAATCCCCAGGTATTATAGGTGCCGTAGAGTGTGCCGGCGTCAAGGCTGTCCGTACTGCTGTGATAACCATCTGAATAAACCCGTAATTCCATGCCTGTAAATACCCAGCTCCTCCAGGGGAAGCAGAACTTACCTCAAGAACCCGTACCATCCATCTAAATCATCAATCTCATAATCATACCAGTCTCTTCGGACCAGAAGAAGCGTTGTGTTCAGGATTGACTAGCCATTTCTTTAGCTGGTTTCCAGCCAACGTCTACTTTCCCTTCCATCCTCCCCCGTTCAACCTCCCCCCTCAACTCCATCACATCCATACCATCGACCTCGCTTTTGACAAAAACGTACGACTTACACTCTGCAAAGGTGAAATCGACTAACTGATAGCTTTTCGTTTGGTACTTTAGGCTCTCTCGCTTCAGTCCAAAGTCGTCCTTCTACCGCCTCACCACCCCGCATCGGGATCTTCAAAAACAACATCAACAACAACCACTCCTGACCTCGCTGTCGTTCTCCTGCACCAGACGCTCGATAGCTCATCTCTCTTTGCTGTACACACTTCCGTTTTGCTCTGTACGTAAGATACTTCTTTGAGTTCTCGACTCTCGATCTCGGGGTTCGACTTTGCCTCAATCTCAAGAGGCCTTCGTTCAACATGAGCTCCATTCTGATGTATCATAGAATGTCGTCCACCCACAACCTGTCAGGACTCCCCACCCCGGACAACACCCCTCCGGCGCTGAATGAGCCCTCTACTCCCAAGCCAGTATCCCGCAAGCGTAAGAGCGTCAATGCTGGAAAGGAGGCGCTGGGTACCACTGACACGACAGACTGGGAAGTGCCAGTCTCGTCGGAAGATGAAAAGACAATTGTTGTCATCGTGAAGAAGAAGCGTAAGCGGGCCGCCGCAGAATCCCTCGATTTCGACCCGGCAGTGGTTCTCCGCACAACCTTTGCAGACCTCGATCCTCTGCCTCTCTTCGAACTGGACCCAAGAGAGTCTTCTCCGGAAACGGAATATTCATACGAAGCTGACTCCAACTCCGATGGGGATTACGAGCCCGAGGATAAGGACGAGTCTCCTTCGGCCGCCCAAGTAGCGCAACTGATGGGCTCCATCATTCCGAGACCCGTTAAGCCACTCAAGTATCTACTCGGAAGTCTGACATACGACATCTTCGCGAGCATCAAATACGATTCCGCCAAGCAGATCAAATTTGATATCACTGCTATCCACGTCGTTGACCGTGACAGCAGCGATCGTGAGAGCAACGAAATCAAGCGACTGGTCCGGGCTAACCCGAATCACAAGAGGCTCTCAATCGTCCGCCAAGACCGCCGCTTCCTTCTTCGCACGGGGAGACACATCTCTGCTGTGGAGGACCGGCAGTTCATAATCTACGGCGACTACCTCTCCCGCGTCGAGTACAACTCTTCAAACGCGACCGGATGTATCATCTTTGCCTGCATCCCCGAAGTCGCCAAGAAGCGCGCTGCCATCGAAGGATACCTGTTTACTATGCCTTCCCCCGAAGTCACTGTCCGATTCAGCAGCCGCGATGCCTTGTGGTCATTCTTGGCGGTCCTCCGGGCCGATTTTAAGGTCAAAATTCGGGAGCCGACGGAGTAAGTTCCATTCATTCGTCACCTGAATTTGAGAAGCCTATACTGATATTTGCGCTTCAGCGCCAACGGTGACGCTACACTGGTACTCCCCGAAGATTGGTTGGTCTGATTTCTCGATACGAGGAAGAAAGTGCTAGCCTTGTGATCAGAGGAGATACGATGGATTATATGAAAAGTATGTCTGGCCTGCTGAAGGGATAGTGCGATTGTTATGATGAGATGAGACATGAAGTGTGTTCGAGAACTGGTACTAAGATGAGAAGTATGCCGGACAGGGTGTTACATGGCCAACTTGTAATGGCTCTGGTTTGCCAAGAGAGGAAGGATCCACTCTGAATGTATCGACTGAATGAATGTCAATTCTGCCATCAAACTATTCTCGTCCTGAAGATTTCTCCAGCGAGCGAGGCTCAGATTGGGTTGAGCGCCACGACAACTTCTGTCATCCAGAAGGATCGGGCCCAACAAGATGGGCAGCAGAGCTACACCTGATGTTGATTCGCCATTTTTTAATTCGCTCTCCAACTAGGAATTGACGAAGTTCTGAGATATCATGCTCAGTCAAGGTCTGCAACGCAGAAAGGCTATGTCTTGGGACGAGATGCTTATCATCTTGGTTGAATTTGAAACCCCAATGTACTACAGGGGGATGTCCACCTTCTTGGCTGAACTTGAACTCCAACGTACCACAACAAAACATCCATCCTCCTAGGAAGCTGATGCCGGGGACGCCAAAGTAAGAGCCAGACCTAGGATAACGTACAGCACAATAATATAGAGGGCCGCGAAGACTAGAAACAATTCCAAGCTTCGCATCTCGAATGCCCATATACAAAGACAAAAACCAAGTCGATCTGAAAAAGAAACAGATGACCGCAAACTGAATAAAACAACTCGCAAGCTCTCCCCAAATCTTTAAAAAAAGCAAGCAAACAAATCAAAAACAATGAAAAAAATTTCGCAGAGAAAGACATAGCACTGGCTATCTCCTCTCCCGATTCAAGTCGCAATCACCGACAGCCGATAGCCGCACAGCGTCGCTCCTGATAAGCGCAATATACCCAAGTTTGCGGTCGGAGGAGTCGCATCATCTCGTGTCTTGTTGTCGAGACAAATCGAAGGAGAAAGTAGAGTGAAGGTCGACCAGGGAAGAACAAAGGTCTACACCGATCTCGCTTCGACGACTGCTTAGCTTCCGGCGCTAGTTATAAATCACGCCCCCTTCGGCCTCTCTCGGCCCGTGGCTCCTCTCTATTTGGTATGTATGGTGCCAGATGCAGGCGGGCCATCAGCTGTTCTGGACTTGTACTTGGACAGTTCTTGGAGTTCTTGGATTGGGAGGGTCCGAGTTGGCTGGCTATAGATTTCATAATCGTGACGGGTGGGAGACTGGCCGCTGCAAGATCACGGCCCACCCCTAGCACATATCATTAAAATCCCCGTACTGGTATCATCTATCTATCTATCGTTATAGCTGATCCTGTCTGTCTGTCTGTCCATCCATCTGCAACTACAACTTCGCAAACACAGTCCCCACGACCCCACTCCCCTCCACCAGCGTGCTCTTCTCCCTCACCCACGCCTCCAGGCCCCTCCGGCCATTCTCAACCCCGACACCACTCAGCTTCCACCCGCCCACGCTCATCTCCGCCGGGCTCTCCCCCCAAGTATTGATCCATGTTATGCCCGCTTCGACCTTGCCAATTACCTCGTGGCACAGATTAACGTCCTTGCCGAAGACGCCGGCGGCAAGGCCCATTTTAGTGTTGTTGGCACGGCTGATAACTTCGGGGATCGTGTCATAAGGGAGGATGCAGAGGACAGGCCCAAAGATCTCGTCGGTGGTTATCTTCATGGTGTCGGTGCAGTTTGTGAAGACGGTGGGTTGGACCCAGAAACCGTTTTCGTAGCCGGAGGGGATGGCGGTCGGTTTGGAGAAGCCGCCACAGAGGAGCTTCGCCTTGTCCTCCTCGATGCCATGTTTGATGTAGCTGAGGACTTTCTTGTAATGGATTTCCGATACTAGGGGTCCGAAATTGCTGTTCGGGTCCATTGGTTCCAGTGAACGGATATATTTCACTTTCTCGAGAAGGCGCTTCTCGAATGCAGGCTGTAGCGCGCGTGGGACGAAAACGCGGGTGCCGTTCGTACAGACCTGACCAGTAGAGTAGAAGTTCGCCATCATAGCTCCGTCGACGGCAGCTTCGATGTCTGCGTCTGGGAGGATGATACATGGGCTTTTACCGCCCAATTCCATCGTCACATATTTCATACCGCTGGCCGCTGAACTCGCTACCTTCGCTCCTGTCGATACTTGGCCGGTAAAGCTGACTTTTGATATACCTGAGTGAGCAGTCAAGTATCCACCTACAGCCCCATCGCCATGCACGATGTTGAAGACGCCTGGGGGAAGTCCAGCTTCGGTAAAGACCTGGGCGAGGATTTGCCCGTGGAGGGGGGTCACTTCTGACGGCTTGTAGACCATGCAGTTCCCGGCGGCGAGACAGGGCGCCGATTTCCACAGTGCGATCTGAATGGGGTAGTTCCAGGCGCCGATTCCAGCACAGACGCCTAGTGCTTCCTTCTTGGTGTATATCCACGCATCTGGCCGCAGTTGTGTAGTCTCGCCATTGAGGCCTCCGCTTGCTACCAAGTTTGCAAAGTATTCCAGCACATCTGCGCCTGTCACTACGTCTACGGCGCTTGTTTCCGAGAAGGCTTTGCCGCTATCGTGGGTTTCTGTCCTGGCGATTTCGTCGTTCCGAGCGCGGAGAATGGCGACTGCTTTGAGCAAGATGCGTGTGCGCACAATTGGGGGTGTTTGGGACCACGAAGGGAATGCTCTCTGCGCTGATGCTATGGCAGCGTCGATATCTGCCGGGGCAGCAGTTTGGATCTCTGCTATGGGTTCTCCAGTAGAGGGATCGACGCTTTTGAAAGTTTTCCCTGACGTTGCATTCTGCGGTTTACCGTCGAAGAAGAGCTGTTGAAGAGCGTATGAGACCATGATGGGTTGGTCTTCTTTCTTGGTTTTGTGCAACTGCTCGATGATAAGTCTGACAGAATCTTGTGTTGAAAGGATATTCGAACAAGCCGTCTTGAGGCAATCCCGCTACCCCAAGGCCTGGCCGAAGTGGAGATCAGAACCAGATGAGATGCGTGGAAGTGTTGTAGCATGGGACCGTGACCGTAAGGGTCGGTCGGCTTACCCCGGCTGATGCGACCGGATGGGACTTGACCTTTATCTCGGAATCCGATAAGAGTGGGGGACAACGAGTTGAGGTCATGCTGGTGCTGATTGGCCAATCGGGTGGTGGTAGTGGAGACCTGAAAGAGGGGCAGGAAGCATAAACCTGGGGCAAGCCTCATGCCCTAGACGACTTACGATCTAGCGGTCAAAAATGTGGACGACGTTTTTACCTCCATCTGCTCTCCCACTACCACCCACCAAGCATCCGCTTCCAGGACCACGATTGGAGCTAGACTATCATGGACATGGTTTGTATCCGTTCCGGTCCCTTTTCCTCTTCCTCTTCCTCTTCCTCTTCCACTTCCTCTTTCTCGTCCTCTTCCTCTTCCTCTTCCTCTCCCATATCTATACATCTTTATACATCTCCATCTCCATCTCCATCTCCATCTCCATCTCCATATGCTTAACCCCCCCCTCGCCCTCGGTCTGTGAACTGCCTACCACCTCCCCCCATCACCATGACCACCGATTTCATCTCGGCGTCCCAGGCCCAGGACTTGGACTATGTTATCGTCGGTGGAGGCACGGCCGGTTGCGTGATTGCAAGCAGACTCTCCGAGTACCTCCCAAGCAAAAAGATCCTCCTGATCGAGGCCGGCCCCAGCGACTTTAACAACGAGAAGGTGCTGCAGCTGAAGGAGTGGCTTACGCTTCTAGGAGGTGAACTCGACTACGACTATGGGACGGTAGAGCAGCCAATGGGTGAGAGATCAAGCTCTTCCTTATCTGCAGGTAACTAAGTACTGACCCAGTCCAGGAAACTCCCACATCAGACACTCCCGGGCCAAAGTGCTCGGAGGCTGCTCCTCTCACAACACTCTCATCTCCTTCCGCCCTTTCAAATATGACCTCGACGTCTGGCAGTCGCTGGGCTGCAAAGGCTGGGACTTCAAGACCATGATGCGTCTCATCGACAACCTGCGCAACCAGATCCAGCCTGTCCACCCGCGCCACCGCAACCAAGTCTGCAAGGACTGGATCGAGTCGTGTTCGACGGCCCTCGATATCCCTGTCATCCGCGACTTCAATGAGGAGATCCGCGAGACGGGCAGCCTGCAGCAAGGCGTCGGATTCTTCAGCATCGCATACAACCCCGACGACGGCCGCCGAAGCTCGGCGTCGGTAGCCTACATCCACCCTATCCTGCGCGGCCAGGAGAAGCGCCCCAACCTGACCGTTCTGACCAATGCCTGGGTCAGCAAGGTCAATCTCTCCGGCAAGACCGTCACGGGCGTGAACATTACCCTCAAGACAGGCGAGAAGTACACCCTGTCTCCGCGTACCGAAACCATCATCTGCGCCGGCGCAGTCGACACCTGCCGGCTCCTCCTCCTCTCGGGAATCGGCCCCGAGAAGCAACTCTCCGACCTCTCCATCCCCGTGCTTCACAACCTCCCGGGCGTAGGCGAGAATCTGATCGACCACCCTGAGAGTATCATAATGTGGGAGCTCAACGCGGCCGTCCCGCCGCAGACAACCATGGATTCGGACGCCGGCATCTTCCTGCGCCGCGAGATCAAGGACGCCGCCGTCAACAACACCGATCCCGCCCTCAACCCCAAGCGGATCCCCGACGGCACGATTGCGGACATCATGATGCACTGCTACCAGATCCCGTTCTGTCTCAACACAGCGCGACTCGGGTATGAGGCGCCGCTAAACGCGTTCTGCATGACGCCCAACATCCCGCGCCCGAGATCCCGCGGACGCATCTACCTGACCTCCGCGGACCCGAGCGTGAAGCCCGCCCTCGATTTCCGCTACTTCACCGATCCGGAGGGCTACGACGCCGCGACTATCGTTGCCGGCCTAAAAGCCGCCCGCGAAGTCGCCAAGCAGGAGCCTTTCTCGAAGTGGCTCACTAAGGAGGTTGCGCCCGGCCCGAAGGTGCAGACCGACGAGGAGCTGTCCGAGTACGGACGACGGGTGGCACACACGGTATACCACCCTGCCGGGACGACGAAGATGGGAGCGTCCAATGACGAAATGGCTGTCGTGGACCCGGAACTGAGGATTAGAGGGTTGAAGGGTGTCCGGATCGCAGACGCGGGCGTTTTCCCGACTATGCCTACAATCAACCCCATGCTGACCGTCCTTGCCATCGGCGAGAGAGCGGCGGAGATGATTGCGTTCGAGGCCGGGTGGAGGGGAGACAGCAAGGCGCGGCTGTAGATGGGATATGCTCCCGTTCCGCGCCGAAAAGTAAAAGAGGGGGTTGGACATCTATTTGTCTACATCTACCTTATTCATCTGTATTGGTTAGATTCTCAGCATTTTGTAGCGGGTTAACTAGATCTTCATCATCATGGCGACTTTCGGGCTGGGAGTGTATCTCACTTGCCTTCTTCCGTATATATTATACCATATCATGTCACATCATAGATATTGCTCATTCGTCCCTGACAGATCTCCAAAAGAGCCCGTGAGAGTCTTCCGGACGAGCTGACAGATATCCTTCCTTCTCTATTCTCTACGGAGTGCACTTTTCTCCCCACCTCTCTCTCTACTAATCTATATACATATGGTCTGGTCTGGTCTGGTCTATCTGTCTGTCTGTCTGTTTCTAGTCTTTATTCTATCACATCACATCACATCACACCACATTCCGTTATCCTATCCCATCTCTTCTCATACTGCATTATATTACATTCGACTTTGAATTGAATTATACTGGATTGAATCCATTTGACTGACTCATTACATTACATTAATTGAATATAATATATATATATATTTTTAACAAATTTATTCATCGCCGCCCTCCCATTTTACTTGCTTTGCTGCTGCTGCTGCCGTTGCTGCTAGAAGCTCCGCTAGCTCTTCACTCACTTACTCTCACTCACCCAACAAAGAAGCATCTCGGGAGAAAGGTTAAAAGGTAAAAAGGTAAAAAAAAGGTAAAATCAATTTCGCATTCATTCGCATTCATTCTACCTGCTACGTTGTTGCTACGTTGCTACTACTAATCTGATCTGATCTGATCCACCAGCCACCCACCCACCCTATTTACTAACTAGCCAGCAGCGTTCTCTTCCTTCCCTATTCAGCGGCAGCGCCGTTCGTCGGTGAAGCGCCAATCCCCGCGGCCATCCGGCCGGCGAACTTCGAATCATACCCAGCTTCGTATGTCCCCTTCACTGGATATCCAGTTCCCAGTCCGGGCCCCGAAGGAGTATGTACATTACAATAAAACAATAAGTAAGTTAGTAGTCATTATCCAGGCTTCGTCAACGCTGTGCGAGAAAAAAAAAAGAGAAAAGAAAAAAAAAAGCAAGGAAAAACCCAAACGCTATCATGAATCATCTTTCTTTCCCATCTCCCCAATCAATACCCAACTTCTCTGGTTGGTACATCCCTCCGATTCGCGTCCCGTTATCCAACATCAATTCCCAATCCCTTACATCTCGTTTCCGAGGTGTTGGTAAGAGAGGAGCTTAGTATTGGAACCCCCCATAGTTCGAGTTCCGCGCATGCTGAGGTCGGTTGGACAGCGAGCTCGACTCGTAATCGTCCAGGTAGATCGTCGTTCGGCGGTCCTCTTCCGACAGCAGCTCCTTGACTTCCCAGTTGCTATGCTTCGTGCCGACCGAGAACTCGAGATCTTCGCGGGTGATGGAGTCCCAGTACTGTTGTTGTCTCAGTCAGCGCTGGCTCTCCATAAACCATAAACGAGACCACGGCAAACGCGAGAAAGGAGAGGAAGGGGAGGGAAGGAACGCACCTTGTAGACCATCATGACAGCCAGCAGATTGCAGATCGTCGCAAAGAACAGCCCATCCACGTAATGCTTGACAGCCTCGCAAATCTTGTTGCTGAACACATACAGGATGACCTGCCCGGTCATGAGGAACATGGCCCCGAAGAACAAGTCTCCGAGCGGCCAGCGATCCTCCAGCGTGTTGACCACCAGGATGACCTGCATAACCCCGTAGACCACGATCGCGATGCCCGAGACGAGGTACAGCACGATGAACATGGCGAGGGTGCGGGTCGGGCCAAGGCCGGCCCAGGATTTGAAGGTCGCGAGCGAGACGAGGCTGGTGAGGAGGAAGAAGGCTAAGGAGGTGCAGCGGAGCATCCAGACGGAGACGCCGGTGCCGTCCTCGTAGAGCTGGAAGCCGACGAAGCCGTTCACGAGGAGGCAGATGGTGAGGGCAGACGTGAGGCCGTTCTGCACCGCCACGACGTAAGGGTAGACCGCGTTTCCCGGGGGCACGACGCCGGAATCGAGGATGAGGGAGGCGAAGGTCAGCATCATGTAGATGTAGAAGAAGGAGATGATTTCCTTGCGGCCTGGTCGATTCCCACCGTTAGCACCACCCCGACCCATCCGCCTCTGCGTACGTGTATCGATGGATCGATCTGTGACATCCACTCCCCGGGTCTCTCTGGGTGTGGGGATGGGGGGAGGTCATCGCGGACGTACCAACAGCCGTGAATTTGCTCCGCACATGCAAGATCATGATCACCGTCATGACCATGGCAGCGATATGCATGATCGACGTCGCTGTCTGGAATATGATCGTGTTCGCCAGCTCGATGTTGCGCGCGTAGCAGTCGGCCTCGATCCCGTGCGAGCCTACGATGTGCGTAATGGCGCCGACGACGGGGCAGAGCGGTATAGGCGCATTCTCGCACAGCGTCTGAAAGTCCCCGAAGCCCATCGTGGAGATGGCGTCCGCTCGCCCGGCCTGTAGAGTATATCGGGAGGTAGGTTCTGCTTCTTCGTAGCGATGCTCGATGCTGGGAGCGATGTTTTGGGGGCGCCTCGGGGGCCCGAGGGCTGAGAGAGGAATCGATGCGGTGGAGGAATGTGTGCTGAGCGAGTCAGTGTTGGCGCGACCGACACAGGTTTCTGGTGAGCGAGTGTGGGCGAGCGCTGTGGTCGTTCCTGTCCTCGTGGTGGTGAGAGAGGCACAGGATAAGCTCCTTATCACCTTCCTCTAAACCAAGCCCAGCGCCTTGGTCGTACGGGGGACCTGGGCGGATCACCGTTGCCCCCGAAACGGGTATCTTGGACCGCGGACCTCTCACGTGCGATTTGTGCGCTGGGTGGCGAGTTTACACTACGGTACCGGTATTCGATGATTAATTTGTCAATTTAATGGGCGTTGAAAAGCCCTTGATTTGTGACTCCTGTGTTGTGGACAGGATATGTAGTGGGGGGGAGATCCCGGGTACCCATGTCACTCATCCTGATATTTGCAAATACTACTACTACTATACAACTTTGCCCCTTGCCTTTACCCAAATTGCATGTCTCCCATCGAGATTCGTGGCCTCCGGCCTCACTATCCCAGAAATGCAATCGGCCATTGAAACTCCCTCTCCTCTATACAGGATGTGAAGCAGGGCCGAGCCTATCCCTCCAAGCGGCAGTGGAGCTGCATCCTGTATTTACTTTCTTAGCCGTCTCTCCCCATTCATTGTCTGTTTCTACATTCCTTACAGAAAAAAGGCAGCGCGGTCAATAAATGGCAACCAAACGTAACAAATCCCCATCAATAAATTATTATAACCGGCTAACGAACCCACGCACTGCAAACCAGAGCGAACGCTACTCCTTTCCTCCCCCCCCCCCTTCGGAGCTGGAAGGGAGCTGTGACGAAAGAGATAAGTAGGGGACCAGTGGTTGCCATGCCAAACACTCTAAGCGAGGAGCAAAAACAAAAGTATAAATAAATATCCTGCCCCACCCGACACCCGACCCCACCCCGCCCCCCGCCCCAACCTTAAAAATCGTCGCGGGCAGACGAGCCGAACGGCTTTCCAGGTTCCGCGGTGCACGTTAAACCTCAGCAGAGGAGAGGAGAGAAGAGAAGAGAAAAAAACAAAAGAGGGAGACCCATCTTCGTAATGCGAATAGGTAAATGCTTCACGCACGCATGCATGCATGCATGCATGCATGCATAAGTAAACCTAGGAGGAAAAACCCCTTTGGAAGAGCTAGAAAACAACTCGTGTATTGTATGTATCGCACGTCGTAAGTAGTATTAGTAGGTCTTTTTTTTTTTTTTTTTTTTTTTTTGGAAATGCTGCCAGCTGTGACTGTGACTACGACGGTGATAACCTCCTTCCTCTCTTGGTGCAGGCTGACTGCCAAAGCCTGGGAGAGAGAGAGAGATGTGATATATACAGACTTTCCTGATTCCGACACCTCTTGACCTCTACAGATCTCCAGGAGGGGAGTCCTGGGAGTGAGAGGGGAGAGGGGAGAGGGTGGATTGGGTAGTAATGCGGTTCGGTTCGTTTCTTTTTCGCCCTCCGACAACTTCGACACCTCCATCATCATCTTCCTCTCCTTCTTCTTTTTCTTCTTCTTCCTCATCCTCCCCTCTTCAACTCCCTTCAACTCCCTTCCTACCACCCTCGCCATCCGCGCCATCCACGCCTCCTAACACTAAATCATGCTCACCCACTCACTCATCAACATCATACCGCTCTCACCCCCGCTGCCCCCTCTCCCCCTCCCCTCTCCCCACAAGAGAAAGCTACACATGAAGAAA